AAACCCCCCCCCCCCCCCCCATAGCAGATTCCGAATGCTGAAATCGCCCTGATACCAACAGCCCTGCGATGCTCTAAGTCGAAGTGACCTTAAAGCAAACAGCGCAAACCTTAAACCATGAGAAGCAAGCGCTCTCCCACAGGGTGCAAGGAGTGCAGCCTCGCGTGTATGTCTTTTTCGGACCGTTCGTGACCGGAAGCCAAAAAGCGCACATTTAGGGGGCCCCCGACCACGTGGTGAGTTAGATTGCTCCGGCATTGGAGCTGACACGTAAGCCCAATGAACCCTGCAAGCCCTCAATCCCCGACAGGTGGATCGGACGCCCTGTTGTGCCGTTGATGGCCCACCCTTTGATTCTTTTTGAGGCTCGGATCTCGTATGACCCCCCTATAAAGCCAAAAAAACGGTGCTTCTGGGTTTAGTCACAGCGTTAGGCCTTTTCCTCCCCTCTGTGGTGCTTTACTGCAACTTTAGATCCTTAGCCTTTTTGGGTTTATTGGGTTTCTTAATAAGGCAACTAGAAATTAGATATATAGCTACCCTGCTAAGTGCAGCCAAGTGCCCAGGCAAGTACTCCAAGAGAGCAGTCCGCGACGGAGTCCAGACGCTTGGCAGTGAGCAGCTAGGAAGAACAGCACCACCTCCAACTCAACTTCCAACAACAACAGCAACGACGACGACGACCACAGCGACAGCAGCAGCAGCAGCAGCAGCAGCAGCAGCAGCAGCAGCAGCAGCAGCAGCAGCAGCAGCAGCACAGGACAGCAACCCGCAACTTAAAGCTGGATGAATCTTGTCTGTCATACGGATGGAATACATGCAACATAATTACAGCCATCTCATAATAACACCGTGTTGCCGGATCTCATATGATTCTGTGTTCGCGTTCTATGATATCATTTCATCCGACCCTGCAAATGCCCTCCAAGCCTAGAGCTGGAAGTTTCGTTAGAACCACCGACAAGCTCGTAAATCCCTAAACCACTGAGAAGCCCTAAACCGAAACCCTCAAACCTCCAACCGAAGCACCCACAAAAGGACCCTACGCCCCGAACACAGGGAATCGCTGCCTCTACCTGCCATGTGACGTGGGAAATAATTGACCTGGACGCCCAATGAGCTGCGAACTCAAGTTGCAGACCCACTGTGAAACCCGATGGCTGCAAATACCTTTTCAAGCCAAACCCTAAACCCTGAACCCTAAACCCTGAACCCTGAACCCTGAACCCTAAACCCCAAACCCTAAACCCTAAACCCTAAACCCAAATCCCCCAAACACAGGAACCTGTGCCCGCACTCCGTGGACTTCATGAAGCTCAGTGCTGAAAAGCATTCAGCCGCCGGCCTCAGAATGGTGGGGGGCCTCAGCCGGCCCGGGGTTTAGGGTTTAGGGTTTGGGGTTTAGGGTTTGGGGTTTAGGGTTTACGGTTTAGGGTTTCGGGTTTGGGGTTTGGGGTTTGAGCCTTGCGACCAAGCGTATATATATATATATATATATGCACACTCGGCGCTGCTTCTCGCCTGCACCCGTTGGCCAGAGCATCCATGCCTGAACGATGGTTGCATTTGTACTACCAGTGCATCACTGATTCGTTATTCCGAGCCCTCTCCAATGAATTCTGTGTGAACCCTGAAGACCCTGGTGGGACACATGGAAGGACACTGGCAAATAATCAGACTTACTTTACTATGACCTATAAATCATCATGTTATGTTATTCTGGTTTTCAATATCCAGAAGGCAGCCTGAAAACCCCATTTTAGCTTTGGATTTAGGCGTTTAGTGAGGGGGATCGGTCGAATCCGAATGTTAGGGGTTTTGAGGTGTACTGTAAGGGCTTCAGGATTTAAGAGTTTCTATCTTTGGGTCTCAAGCTCTACAAAATGCTACCATCAAACACTAGCACCCCAGGCTGTCGCTCCATGGCCTCGGGATTTCGAGTTTTGCGCTAGGGCTTCAGTGATGCTTCAGAGATGAAAGCCTTTGTGTGTGTTCACACACTTCAAACAATGACACATCGTTCTCACGAGGATGGTCTGAATAAAGCACTCTTGCATTGCAAAGCGATACAATAAGGGCCGAATGAACCCTAAAAGGTTTATGGTTCACCTACCCTAACAGGGATGAAAGTAGTATAGGGCGTACGATCCCAATGTTCGGGATCATTTGTCCCCCAAGGTAGATTAGGGTTTAGGTTCTTTGGTTGTGAACCATATGTCCAGCTCTACTAGTTTCAACCTCATGTGTTCACTAGTTCCGAGACTTACTGGTTTTCGTCATTGTCTTTTCCCTCATCATGGTTGCCTAATGGCACGCCCAAGTTCGCATTTGTTTTTTTTTTTTTTTTTGGGGGGGGGGCGGGGGCGGTGGGGGGTGGGGGGCGGGGGAAGCGGGCGGGGGGGCGGGGGGGCGGCGAGGTGGGGGCGGCCTGGGGGGGGGGGGGCGGGGGGGGGGCGGCGGGGGGAGGGGTGGAGTCCCGCATTTCTTGGTTGATTTATGTATATTTAAGATATATTTGTAATTTATTTAGTTTTTTATTCATTATTTTTTTTTTTTATTTTTGTGGGGGGGGGGGAGGTGGGGGGAGGCCGGGGCCGCCTAAACTTCTTGCCGCGAAGGAGATATTGGACGCCATCTCCTTCCATCGGGCGTTGTCGCCGGGCCAGGAGAAGACGCACGTCTGCAGATGGAATTGCGTGGTGGGTGCAGTGGCGGTTCTCCTCCGAAACCCTAAACCCTAACCCCTAAACGCTAAACTTGGGATGTTCCCCTTATATGAACAGTCCTTTTTCGGGATTCTAGTGCCTGCGATTATAATCCCGATTAAGGACTGTTAGTATAAGGGAGAACATGCCAACCCTAAACCCCTAAACCCTAGACCCTAAACCCCTAAACCCTAAACCCTACACACTCCACCCGGTTCAAGGTTGAGGTCTGGTCTACCAACCACGTGGATTGATTAGGCTCTAGGAGTTGGGATGCTGGGCTGTAGGGGGGGGGGGGGGGGTCGCAGTGGTGTTGAAGCGGTTTCGATAGACTCCTACCGTCCTGCCATTTAGGGTTTAGGGTGTGGGGTTTAGGGTTTAGGGTTTAGGGTTTAGGGTTTAGGGATGCCTCAGGAACAACTGCTGCCAGCTGGCCTGCCTCAGCCTGAAGCAGATCCAGGACAAGCCCTTCTCCATGGGATGCTACTCCCGAAGACCGTAGCATCCCCAAGCAGACACCATATGGGGTTGCCGAAATATGTGTGCCCTTTTTGGGAGTCCCTTTGAGGGGATTCTATTCCATTTGGGGTACAAAAGGCATGGTTTAGGGTTTAGGGTTTAGGGTTTAGGGTTTAGGGTTTAGGGTTTAGGGTTTAGGGTTTAGGGTTTAGGGTTTAGGGTTTAGGGACCCATATTTTGGGACATGCCCATACATATACAGCCGGCTCTATTGGGTAGTTCGAGATGATGCCTCTGTGGAAGGGGTTACTGAGGAGCCGGTCGTATATGGGGGACCGAAAGAGGGACCCCTAATTTGAAGAGCTATCCATTCAGGGTTCAGGGTTTAGGGTTTAGGGTTTAGGGTTTAGGGTTTAGGGTTTAGGGTTTAGAAGGACGCTACACTCAGCTATGAACATGCGATGCTTTTGTAACGTGGGCTTTGACTGCAGCCTGACCCGTCTCAACCAGGGTTGCTAAATGCTCGCTGCGCTGGCTCACGGGCGCAGGGCCGTGTTGGCACTACAGTTCAGGAGTTGACGCTCTGCTATACATCCCTCAGAAACATACTAAAAGGGGGCTTGGGTGCTACAGAAAGCTAAAAAATAGTTGCTAAGGAAACTATAACAGTCTTAGGGGTAAGTGTTGATGCAATATTATACACATCATATCATCCCTGTACACCCATGTTCTAGCTACTTGGCTACAAACTGTTCGGGCTTTTGTGGTTTGTGGTTAATACTCTAGAGTTTTGGACTTGCACCACGCGCTTGGATCCAGAACCCCAAGCCCTACAACCTAAACCCCCCAAAACCCTAAAGCCCTGAAGCTCCCCCCAACCCCTAAACCCTAGACCCTAGACCCCAAACCCTAAACCCTAAACCCTAAACCTTACATGGGTTGGTGGTCTCTTTAAGTAAGGTTTCTCTTTTATAGGGGGTCTTCTAAGGGTGACTAGGGGCAAAATAAAGGTATAAGGGTAACAGATAAAGAGGCCACCGGCCTTTATACCCTAAACCCTAAACCCTAAACCCGAAACCCTAAACCCTAAACCCTGAAGCCCCTAAAGCCCTGAGCTGCGCAGGACGCGTTTTCCGGGACCGAGTCGGAAGCCACCTTCGACGCGACGCGAAAGAGCGCCCCTGGGATTTCTTAAAGAAGGGGGGTAAGATGAGTACGTGGGGTTTAGGGTTTAGGGTTTAGGGTTCAGGGTTCAGGGTTTAGGGTTTAGGGTTTAGGGTTTGTGGGGGGGGGGGGGGGGGGGCGTAAGTCGGGCTTAGGGGAGTGTAGTTCAGGGTTTTGGAGGTCTGTTTGGTACCATAGAATGTGCGGGATTCAGGCGCCTGCATTCAAAACCTGAAAGTTGTAATCCTAAACCCTCCTTTGCTGGGACCTGTTTAGGTTCCCTTGTAAGCCCCTCTAAACCTGGGTAGGCCCTTGGGATTTTGCCTTTCCCTTTATTGGGTTAAGAGGGTCATATTACGAGTATGTTTTTTCTTAAGGGCCATCCTAGTTTAAATCCTGCAAACCAGAATGGCACCCTTCTTTATTCCTAGGTGACCCTCGGGTCTAGGCTTAAACCGTAAACCCAAACCCTTGTTTCGGCTCCATCGTGTGAAAACCAGGTCGTGTCGAAGTTCAAGGCGCTCACACGCCTGGGTGCCTTTCCGGGTGTGCCGGCGGAGGTGGGATAGTAAGCTCCTTGAAGCCTAGGCCCCAAAGCCCCTCGCGCCCAAGCCGAGAGCCTGTAGCTCAGGTCAGATCTATATACTAAACTCAAAATCCTAAACCCTAAACTCTAAACCCTAAACCCTAAACCCTAAACCCCGCCCAGCTGCGCAAAGCCTCTGAGTAGAGTCCGTGCGCCCCGAGCCTCTGAAGAGTGCCTCAGCCCGGGAGACGTCTTGTGGTGTTAGGGTTCAAAGGGTTCATAGGGTTATAGGGTTTAGGGTTCAGGGTTTAAAGTTATAATCATAGGGCTGATGGGGTTCAGAGGGGGTTTGAAGGTATGGGGTTTATGAGGTTTCTAGAAAGTTCGTGCGGGCCTTACAACTTTATTCTATTGGCGCATGAACGAAGTGAGCGGCGTAAAAGGGAACACAACTAGTGAGCGAACGAATTTTGTGAGCAAATAAACTCTTTTCATATTTTCGCATATAATGTAGTTCACGCGTGAATGAGCAGCTATTGAACGACATGCGCAGTTTTGTTGTATTCACGCGTGACATGTACATGTATAGGTATGTGTATGTATGAATATGTATATATATATATACACATATATTCATTCCCCAACAGTGCTTGCACCATGGGGTTCTTACGTTCAGAGTAAAGGAATTGGTTGCTGACCGCAACGGCGCGCGCGGCGGTGGGACGGGGCCTTGGTTTCGACGCTCCCGCCGTGGTTTCGCGCGAATTCCGTTGCGTTTCGATGCTCCCGCTGTGGTTTCGCGCGAATTCCGTTGCATTTCGATGCTCCCCCTGTGGTTTCGCGCGACTTCCGGCCTCTCGTTGGCGTCTTTTTGACCCCCAAGGGAATTCGGCCCCCCACGAACTTTTGTACTTTTTGTCCCCGGGAGTGTCGGTGCTCTTCTGGCCTTCTTTGGCCTTTTCTGGCCCTCCTCACTGTTTAGGGTCTACGCCGGCATAATTTATTTATTCATTCCAAAATGCAAAGGGCATGGTATTGCTTATGACTAGCGTGCAGCCAAAGGTCCTCACGAAGCCCGCGTGACATTCTTTCGTTGACGCCCCCCCTCCCCTCTCGGAAGACAGGTGATCTGGATGATCGCCGAGCACAGCGAAGTCAGTGTCTTCGAGAAAGGCCGCAGCGGTTTAAATCTTATACCTAAAGACGCTCAACTCTAGACCTGAACCTTGTGATTCCCCATAGTCTAATTAGGTAGATCGTTGTAGATCGATATGGAACAAGTGCGGGGTTCAAAGTTCTGAGACCATGCGCATGTGAAGTTGCAAGGGGGTTGGGGTGAGATAGGGGTCGGAATTTGTAAGAACAAGAGTATTCTAGAATATTAATTCAGCCTCCTATATGAGGCCTGAAAACCCTTAAACCCTTGCGCGAGATGACATCATCGTCAAAGAGGGAAGTTGTGGACCTATGGAGCCAGGGTCCCAGCCGAATGCGGGGGGGGGGGGGGGGGGGGGGGGGGGGGGGGGGGGGGTGGTAGGGGGCGGGGAGGGGGGTGGTAAGGTTTGGAGTTTGGGGTTTAGGGTTTCGGGCTTGAGGTTTAGGATTTAGGATTTAAGGTTTAAGGTTTAGGGCTTGGGGTTTAGGGTTTAGGATTGGGATTTTCAGGGCTTGGAGTTTCGGGTTTGGGCCTCGGCTTGTTTGCGTCATTGTAGGCTTGCAAGTTTCGGGATTGATCACCCTAAACCCTAAACCCTCAACCGCGAAAATGGAAGTTGGAATCGCCCAAGCCCTACATGCAAGAAACCCTTTGCGCGGAAGGCCCAAACCCGTTTAGGGCTTAGGGCTTAGGGTTTAGGGTTTAGGGCTTAGGGTTTAGGGTTTAGGGTTTAGGGTTTAGGGTTTGGTTGGGCTTGGGGTTCTGCACCCCTCGACCCTAACCCGAAATTGCCCCCAAACCCCACCAAACCCTAAACCCCAAACCTTAATCCCCAAACCCTAAACCCTAAACCCTAATCCCCAAACCCTACTCCCCAAAGCCTAATCCAAAAACCCTCACAAAAAACAAAAACAAAAAACTAATCCTATAAGCCCTGCGAAGTTTCACGGGCCTCCCCTCCAGTCCGCAAAGGCCCTAGACCAAAGCCGGGAAGCCCTACAAGCCCCCTACGAAGGGTCATGGCCTCCCTAAAGTCCCCAAAGGCCCTTAAACCCTAAACCCTAAACCCGAAACCCGAAACCCTAAACCCTAAACCCTAAAGCCTAAACCTAAAGACCACTGCGCCAGGTCCATGATCATCATCGAAAGCGGCGCCGCAGATGTGGAGATGGTCCTGCTCTCGGGGGGGGGGGGCGGCGGCGGCAGGGGGAGGCAGGCTTGTTTAGGGTTTAGGATTTAGGGTTTAGGGATATGAACCCTATAAACTCGACGTCCTAATAAAGCTTACATGCCCCAAGAAGCCCCTTATAAGCCCTAGATGCCCTAATAAGGCCTAGAGGCCCTTCAAGGCTTTAGGGTTTAGGGCCCTAACCCTACCAGCTGCAGCACTAAGTCGCTCATTCCTAGGCCCACTATGTCCCTAGATCCCAGCACCGTTGAGGCCCTGGAACCTTGCACCCTCCCACAAAAAAAAACAAGCCAAAGAAAGCCGAAAAGTCCAAAACCCCAAAAGCACCCAAAAGCCCTAAATCCCTCTACAACCCTTGAAGCCCTAAAAGGCGCTAACGAATAAGAATCTTAGAGCATGTGGCTAAACCCTACACCCTGAACCCTAAACCCCAAACCCCCCAAACCCCAAACCCAAAACCCCAAGACCCCAAACCCTAAACCCAAAACCCTAAACCCTAAACCCTAAATCCTAAACCCTAAACCCTAAACCCCCCCGCTTTTTTCGAGAAGGTGATGTTTGACCGCGAGCTCCTCGAGGCCCGAGGCTGCCGGATCGCCAAGCTCTTGCCAGGCGCGAGACCGTCCCCTTAGAGGGGTTTAGGGTTTAGGGTTTCGAGTTTAGGGTTTAGGGTTTAGGGTTTGGTGTTTAGGGTAAACCCTGGGGTTTGGGGTTCGGGGTTTAGGGCTTAGGGCTCAGGGGGTTTAGGGTTTAGGGTTTGGGGCTTAGCGCGCGACGGCCCCTTAGGGGGGTTGTTTGAGGGAGGGTTTGGAGGGTTTAGGGTTTAGGGCTTGGGGGTTTAGGGTTTAGGGTCTGGGTTTAGGGTTCAGGGTTTAGAGCTTAGGTGGTTCAGGGTCTGGGGTTTAGGAGATTTAGGATGTAATTAGGGGGTTCAGGGCTAAGGGGGTTTAAGTATAGTGGTTTGGGAGGCAGGGACTGGGAAAGTCTTCTGTGGATTGGCGACTAGCATCCAAAAACGATGCTGCTATTCCTGACTTATCCCCCTGGTTCTGCGTCGGGAATGGGGGAAGAGGTACATCATACCCATCTTCCCCTACAGGGCATATTTAGGGGGGATATAGGGTACCTCCTACCCTCATTCCCTACCGCGAACCCGCAAGATATCCTATGGCTATACTAGACGAGACTAGGCTAGACCATACCATATTGTCATTCTTATGTTTTTGTAGTATCATGCTATTCTACTTAGATTTCGTAGTTGTTTCTCTGATGCTGCCTTTCTAGTTTCTAGTAATCCACTAGTATATGTTATACGCGTATAGTCTTGTTTTAAACGCAAGAAGGCCCCTGAACCCTAAAGTATCCCCGCTGAAGTGGAAGGCGCCATCATCGGAGATGTTTGTTTCGTCGAATCCTGGGTCTCACGCCCCGCCTCTGTAGTGGCGACGGCCCCGGCAAGTCTATAGGGTTTAGGGCTTAGGGCGTAGGGCTTAGGGTTTAGGAGTCCAGGGTTTAGGGCTTAGGGCTTGGGGTTTAGGGTTTAGGGTTTCGATTTAGGATTTGGGGGGGAGGGGGGTGAGGGGTTGGGGGAACGCTAGGAAAGAGACTGCTTTGCGGTATAGGGCTTCTAAGGTGTACTTGGAGGGGTTGCAAAAGTATGCCAACCATAGTATGACTGGGTAATGCCTGACATTGACCTTATTTGGGTTCTTACCACCCCCACTCCGGCACCCGAAGCCGGAACCTTCATTCTTGAACCCTCAACCCTAAACCCTAAACCCTGAACCCTGAACCCTGAACCCTGAACCCTGAACCCTGAACCCTGAACCCTGAACCCTAAACCCTAAACCCTAAACCCTAAACCCTAACCGAACCTCCACGTACAGGCCTCGGCCCAGTAGATGGAACCCTGCTTTGTGATTTAGAATTTTGGGGGTTAGGGTTCAGGGTTTAAGGTTTCGGGTGGTACATGTGGGTGGTTGTCAAAATTATTGTCCCTTTAGAGTACCCCAAAATTGGTTCTAATTTTGATATTACCCATGTGGGTTTCGGGCTTTAGGATGTTCCCCCTGGTTCTTAGTAGGGAATGAGGGAATGAGGGTCCTATAGTATACCCTTTAAGGGATTACAATAGGTCCCTCATTCCCGTGTTCCCTACTGAGAACCAGCCAGTTTCAGGGTGACAGGAACCCGTGAAACTCAAACCCTAAACCCTAAAACAGGATTTTGAGGCCTTGAGGGTAAACACGCTGAGGCCAGGGAGCAGGTGCGCGCCTTCCAGATCTCCTCCAGGCGACTGCGCGGGCGGTTTTACGCGTTTAGGGTTTAGGGACCAAAATTTAGAGAAATCACCCAATAGCCTATACACTCCCGCTTAAGGTATGTGGAGCGCAAACCGTTTAGGGCTGAGGGATGTTGGATTTGCCGGCACTAGATCTGGGGTCGAGGGACTCTCTGTATGTGAGTATGTATTTGTGGGGTGTGCAGGACGGTTTCTCTGGCAATCTCTGAGATAATTAGGGTTGAAGTGTCCAGGGTCTAAGAGTTGGGCGAGTCTAAAGTTACAGCAGGGTTTTGCAACTGCAGAAGTACGCCGTGGTGATGAGATCACGCTCTGGCTCTTCGTTGGCATACGCCTTGCCTCACCAAAACCGCAGCCGTGCACTGTCCTCTCACAAAATATGAAAAAGGCTAGTTGATGCGAGCGCAGACCCCAATACTTGAGAGGCACATGTGTGATATACAGCCACTTGGGCACCGGACATCCTCCGCGCGCACCACGTGTGTAATATAGGGGTCGGAATAATTATTTGTAGTATTCCCCTTAGGGTCCCGTAATCAGAATAATAAAAATAATTCTTATAATAATCACATAGTACTAAGAATACTATAGTAACCCCCAAAACCCTGTTCTAATTTTTCAGGCCCCTATCTTGTGAATCCCCAATAGCGCGCCTTAGCGCACGAAATGCGTTGGAACCCTACGGTGTTGGCACGCTTTTTGAACCCTAAACCCTAAACCCTAAACCCTAAACTTTCCTGAACCCGAAACCTTAAGAAATCATGGGCGAGGCCGCTTTTGTCGTTGAGGGCTGGTGGCTTCCGGGAAATGAAGCTCTTCTCTGGTCTGGGCTCTTATACTTAGCCAATAGTTGAGCTTTGTCTCTTTGAAACTCCTGAATTCCCAAGGGGAATCTGGGGTGCATGACCTCATGACCTCCTCTTCGGATCTGTACAGAACTGGTGGTACAGGTCCGAAGCGGGGGCTAAACCTTATGCCTTGTTGAGCTCTACATGTGGCTGTGAATCAAAGAGTTTGGCTTGTAGCAGGCCTCCAGGGGGGGGTTCACCCCGCAACAAAGCTTGTAACAAAAGGGTCGGATCCGCGACAAGCCCTCTGCGACAAGGCTTTTGTACTGATCTAACATCTTCTGAGGTTGAGGTGTCTAGGACGGGGAGAAGGCCCTATTTTCCTTTTTTTAGGGTTGGGGTTCCCTTATAATCCCCCTAAAACCAAAAAGGGTACCCTTGTATTCCTAGGTTACTCCCGGGTCGAGGTGTTGTTGTGCACATGAGCAAGAGTTTGAAAACACCATTCCGCGACAAGCCCTGCGTTGAGCCCCGCGACTTCTCAGCCCAGCGTTTGCCCAAACTGCAGACACTGTCCATTCGACGCATATCAGGCGTGGAAACCGCCGTGAATACAAACGTGCTGCAGCTCTAAGCCCCTCTAAAGCTTATCAACAGTCCTCAATAGGAATTATCATAGAGGCGGGTGGGGGGTCCTAACTTAGATGACCCAAGGGCCCATACTTCAGAACACAACCTCAGCCCTAAATCCTAAACCTTCAACCCTAAACCCTAAACCCTTAGCCCTTAAACCCTAAACCCTGAACCCTTCATCCCCGAGCCCTGGTCCGGCGCCAGGGCGCTTCTGGAGGTCATGGCGTGCTATCCAGGCGAGATTCCCGCGAGTTTAGTCCCAACCCCAAACCCTAACCCTTAGGCTCCAAATAGCCCAAAGTAGGTACTTTTTACAGACTTTAGACCCCAATGTAGGTGTTATTTATATACTTGGAGTCCTAGGGTAAGCCCTTCGCAGATCCCAAGCGCGTCGTTTGATCTAGTGTTCCTGGCTGGAGAAATGCTGTAAGGAGGCTCATTCGGGTTGAAGGATTTCGGGTTCGGGGCTTTTTGCAGGGGACAACAGCGATTTGGGGACGTGCTTGTTAGCCGTGCAAAACACAGGCATTTAGAAGGGTCGCAAGGACACTAATACACAGCACCTTTTTCTCCAATTCAGAGCCTGCGATGTTTTTACCCATGAGCCGCAAACCCTCCTAAACCCTAAGCCCTAAGCCCTAAACAGAGCAAGAAAGCATTCAAGACTCCAGGAGTTTGGCGCTCAGGGTTGAGAAGTTTTTTAGGCGACAGAACGCTTCCAACTCTGTACTTCTCCTCTGCACCCGGATGGCTGTTCTTCACTTATAGGATCATACAGCCCCTTATACAATGTACCCTTCAAGGGATTATCAGGTTCCTTTTATATAGAAGTATGTCTATACGCTTTCCAGGATTCTACATGGTATCCGATATCCTATATAAAACCCTAAACCCCAAACCCCAAACCCCACACCCTAAAGAAAGTGATAGATAAATAAATACATAAATATATACATATATATGTATATATATATATATATACTTGAGGTCGACCCCGTAAACCCTAAACCCTAAACCCAAGACCCTACACCCTAAAACCATCCTGGCAGGCATGGCCTCGATCTACATGTCGCGCACTCGGGACACGTCCGTTGTCCTGCAGCGGAGCCTTACGAGGCCACGCTGGCTTTGACAGCTGCCAAGTGCCTAGGGTTTAGGGTTTAGGGTTCAGGGTTCAGGGTTTAGGGTGTAGGGTTTAGGGTTTAGGGTTTAGGGTAACGAGCTCATAGATCCTGGGATGGTTTGGGTTTGGGGGCATAGGGCTTTTGGGAGGTTTGCGTCACCGCCCTCGCTCCGCACCAGGCCGCAAGATGTGCTTGCTGGCATGAAGCTTTTCTACGGCTCCTCGGCTAACTTGTCAGCCCCAACCTCCCTGAACCCCACATATTATAACATGATATGATTTAATGGAAACCCTAAACCCTAAACCCTAAACCCTGAACCCAAAAACGGTTGGAATGGAATATACGGGAAGATGTCAAAGCCCTGCACGCCCTCGGCCTTCCAGGGGCTCATGGCAGATCATCCTGCGCCTGCCACCGCTGGGACCCCCCCAGTGGCTTTAGAGTACTGTCGCAACACCTTCATGTGAAGCGAGGTTTAGGGTTTAGGGTGGTTTAGGGTTTAGGGTTTAGGGTTTAGGGGTTTATATTGCTGTTATTGGTGAGTGTATATGAGGTTCCTTTTGAATATTGGTGAGTGTATACGTTGGGTGTCCTTTTGAGGGGTACAAGAAATATAAGCCCTGCTTCATGTCCGCCGTCTTCCCCCTTGTACGAACCTAGTAGGGATTATATAGTACGCGCAACTAGAATCCCTCCAGCAGTTAGTATAAGGGCGAACATCCAAAGTCCCAGCTTTGGTTGAGGTTGAAGCTTTTGAGGCGCGGGGGGGCGACGCTACTGTGAGTGTTCCCTATGCTTCGCCGAGGTATGGCGACGATCCTAAACCCTAAGCACTTAAACCCTAAAACCTAAACCCTAAACCCTAGGCCCTAGGCCCTAAACCCTAAACCCTAAACCCTACGCCGAGGCATGGAGCCCGGCTTCATCCGGCTTTTGGCCAACATCTCTGAGCGAAAGATGAACTTCCTGGGGGACGTTGTCAAGGCGAAGACGACTTCTGGGGGCTTGGGCTTGGGGTTTAGGGTTTGGGATTTGGGGTTTAGGGTTTAGGGTTTAGGGTTATCGCCTTTAACCCTAATTCCTGACCCTAATTCCTTGAAACCCCTAGACCCTAGACCCTAAACCCGAAGAGCCAGGGGCTCGGCCTTAAAGCAGCCATAAGCCGGATTGGGCTTTGGTGTTTACGGGGTCCTAATCTGAATCAAGGAAAATGGGGGGGTTGTCGAAAAAAGGGGTACCCTTTGTGGGGGGTCCCTTTAAGGGGATTCTATTTATTGGGGGGTATAAAAGGGGTACCCCCATGTTGGGAAATACCCGTATTCCGCAATCAAGGAATCAAGGGGTACTGGATTAAATTGACAAGAGTCAAAAGCAACCACTGCAGGGGCGGATGAGGGAGGGGGGGCGGGGCGGGGGGAGGGGTGCATATGGTTCCTAAGACTTAGTTAGACCCGAAACCCGGCTAAACCCTAAACCCTAAATCCGAAATAACTCACGTTTCGCATATCGAGGCATGGCTTGCCAGTTGCAATTGTGGGTTTGCGGCCCAAGTCCTGTATCCTAGGACCACCCACTTTTTTCGTCCTCGTGGCAGATACCCTACAGTAAGCTCCGAAAAGTTGGAACATCCTGAACCTGATGCTTCACAAGGTGGACTAAAGGGAATCCCAGCTCTAGTCATCCTTAGACCATGCTCCAACTTTCAGGAGTGCACCCCAACCACTAAGACCGTTTAAGCCGGAGAAAACTTCCCCCTATCTTACGAAGAAGCAGAGAGTCGTCACCGAACCCTGAACGCAAGCACTTACTTGTGGCTTGGGCCCCTGAGCCTGCAGGACCTCAACCCCCTCAAGTAGAATTTGGTGTTCAGGGTTGGTTTAGGGTTTAGGGTTTAGGGTTTAGGGTTTAGGGCTTAGGGCTTAGGGTTTAGGGTTTAGGGTTTAGGGTTTAGGGTTTAGGGTTTAGGGTTTAGGGTTTAGGGTTTAGTTAGGCTTATCCATGGCGAAAGTTACTCTCTTCCTGTAAGCCTAGCACCGCAGCACCCATGCACAAGTAGACCCTCAACTCCAAATATCCCAAAGCCCTAGCCCTACCTTATCTTCTTCCAGTTCTATCCACCCAAACTCAAACCTCAAAACTCCAAACCTAAACCCTAAACCCCAAGCCATGCTAAATCCTGCCTTATCTTCTCCAGTTCTATCCACCCAAACTCAAACCTCAAAACTCCAAACCTAAAACCCTAAACCTTCAACCCTCAACCCTCAACCCTAAACCCTAAACCCTAAACCCCATGCCAGGAAGAAGGAAGCACAGACCGAACGCTTCGGCTTCAAGAGTTCGGCAAGGTCCGTGCAGAGACGGAAGCCGAAGGCCCGGCGTTGGGGGGGGGAGGGGGTTCTTCGGGTTTAGGGTTTCGGGTTCAGGGTTTAGGGTTTAGGGTTTAGAGGTTTAGAGGTTTAGAGGTTTAGGGTTTAGGGTTTAGGGTTGGCAATCGTCCCCACAATTTCGGTCCTGACCTCGATGCCGCTTGCCTTCATTACCTGCACCAGGTAGTCCTGGTCCAAAGAGCTGAAATCATCAGGGCTCATTTTTTTCGACATTTGCAATTCGGGGGGCAGTTGGGGCTTAGGGTTCGGGTTTAGAGTTCAGTGCTTGTTGTGCCCGGGCCTAAACCCTAAACCATAAACCCTAAAACCTAAACCTAATATAGGAGCTGCCGTAGTCAACAATATTTTAACAGACTCCTTGCAGAAGTTTCTGGGCTGAAAGTTTGATGAGAAGTTTGAGATCGATGATAGCTGGGGACGATCTTGGGATATGTTATACTTTCCCTTACTGGGTTTAAGAAGGATCATATTCAGGAGTTTGTTTACGGCCAACCTAGCTTGAGAAGGTTGAGATGGATGATCGAGTCTCATAGAAGCCCTGTTTTTTGATCGATGCTGTCAGGAAAGGAAGCGCGCTTGCTACTGTTTAGCTCCAACTCTTTGCAATGCTTTCGTGCAGTGCTGTAACGCAGTCTAACTCTAAACCCTAAACCCTAAACCCTAAACCCAGTCTGCGTAATTCCCGGTCTCACGTCAGGGTGCGTCTCCATCACCGATGTTGGCACCGTGCTGGGTGAGAAGATGTTCTTGGGCTGGCGCACACGTTCCCAGGTGCCTCCAGTTGAGGAGGGTTTAGGGTTTAGGGGTTTAGGGTTTAGGGTTTAGGATTTAGGGTTTAGGGTTTAGGGTTTAGGGTTTAGGGTTTAGGGTAAGGGTTTCAACCCTAACACCTAAACCCGATAAAGGACTTAATCGGGGACTCAGGTTTCGAAGGGGCAGATTTTGGCGGGATCTTCTTCGAAGGTTAGCAGATTCAGTTCTGGACTCAGGCCCGTTGAATCCCTATATGGTATGTACATGGCGGTTGCTCTGCCAGCGCAACTGAAGAACCTGCTTCAATGAAGGGCAAGTCCTAAGCCAAATGACTGGTTGGCTCTATACCTAAAACCCTAAACCCCAAACCCGGTGGTTCAGGGTCCCAAAGGGGTCGGAATATTTGATAACAATGTTCCCTTATGGTCCCGTTATAAGTATACTATAGTAACTCCCAAAACCTTGTTCTAATTATTAAGCCTCCTACAGTACCCGATTGGATAGTTGCTCAACCGCCCCAGGGCCCTCAAGCCCAAAAGCAGGAGGCAAAAGCCCCTTGGCCAGCTTCCACTTGTAGGGTTTAGGGCTTAAGGGCTGACAAGCAGGTGTTTAGGGTTTCGGGTTTAGGGTTTAGGGTTTGTCAGTTTACCAGCTGTTAGAGCAGCCGCCTCCACGTGGAAAGGTGCTTGGGTCTGGGGCTTCAGGTAACCTGGCAAGTGCCTCTTGTCACAGCGATTTGCTTAAGAACCTACGCAATGGAAAACACAATCCCTGTATTGCCCTTATAAGGAAGAAAAACAAATATGTATATATATATATACACCTATATGTGTGTTTTTTTCGTTTCTTGCTTGGGGGGGGGGGGCTCTTAAGCAAATAGTAGGTCAGGACCTGAACTCCGATTGCCTTTCATCCGGTGCAAGAGACCTGAGGGTTTAGAGTGTAGGGTTTGGGGTTTAGGGTTTGGGGTTTAGGGTTTAGGATTTAGGGTTACTAATAGTATTCCCTTATGGTCCCTTTATAGATATGCTACAATAGCTCCCCAAAACCCCAAACCCTAAACTCGAGACCCTAAACCCTAAACCCTAGACCCTAGACCCTAAACCCTAAACCCTATTTTAGTTATTCAGGCCCCTATAGTATGCCACCACCAAGTTCCGCGTCTTGTAGGCGACCTTCCGCGTGGCCACGCCCATCGCGGTGATGCTGTGGATCCTCAGCTAGCAGCTTTCGGGGTTTAGGGTTTAGGGTTGCCCTACATCCCCTAAACGCCCCCTGAAAGCCCCTAAATGCATATGCATTTATGTATACTTGGGATGTAGCCACGCATGTGTCCATGAGCTAGACTCCACATGGTGAGAGGAATGCACAGAAATACTTGTTCCACAGGTTCTTCATGCTCCGCAAGATTGAAACATATGCTTTCCGAAAATTAGGGTTTAGGGCCAGTTTAGGGTTCTTGGGAGGTTCCCATCATAAGGGTCGTATTATTTGGGGTATATAAGCGGGCCCCCTATCTTGGAAGAACTGAAGCCCACAGCCCAGCAAGCTTAGCAAGAAACGACAGCAAAAACCTTAGACGCCTTAGACCCCAAGCAGCCTTAAGCCCCTAGCCCGGCAACCCCCAGAGCCCCAAAAAACCCTTACAAACCCCAAAGCCTACAAACCCTCAGAACCCCAAAAGCTCGAACCCCCTAAAGCCCTAAATAACCCAAACCCACGAATACCCTAACAGCCAAAAACCTAAACACCTAAGAAAAAAACCTAAAAACCTCTGCTAAAACAAAGGATCTAAACGACCTAACAACCCCTTAAAAGCCCAAAAGAAGCCCTAGACACCCCAAAGAAATATACCCTGAAAACCAAGAAAACAAGGAGAACCCAAAAAAGACGCTAAAACCCTCCAAGCACCTAGACCTCCCAAAGAACAAACCTCTAAAAGCCTAAAGAACAACCAAAACAAATTACCTAAAAACCTTTTTCAACAAAGCCAAAAACACCAACAGCCTAACACCCAAAACCCTAACCCTAACCCCCTCAACCTTAAACCCTAAACCCTAAACCCTAAAAAGCTAAAAGCAAAGCCCTGGACGTTTCAAAGGATCGCGCAGCATCACTTCGAGGGCCTCTTGGAGAGCAACCCCTCCGAGCCTGGGCCGCGAGTTTAGGGTTTAGGGTTTAGGGTTTGGGTTTGGGGTTTAGGGTTTTGGGTGTAGGGTTTAGGGTTTATAGAGTTTCATAGAGTTTTGGGTTTAGGGTTGAGGGTTTGTGGTTTCAGAAATCCCTCCACAAAGTTTGGGGCTTCGGACCTTGGACCCTGGCACCTATTTGGTGGTTTAGGGTTTAGGGTTTAGGGTTTAGGGTTTAGGGTTTAGGGTTTAGGGTGTTTTTTGGTTATGGGTTCCCTGATAAAGCAGCCACACCCCCCAAAAAGCTGCCCTTATCATGATATGGTACCGGGGCTACCAGGCCCAAATGCTCCTTGCCTAGACCATTGTTTGAGGGTCGTTCTGGCCGTCGGAGTTTGGGGCCGTTTGCTGCTTCGGCGTTCGCGCGTTTGGAGCTTGGGGGCATCGGTGGCCAGGATGAGCGCTGCACAGGGTAAGCACCATTAGCTTGGGGTGTTCCCTCTTATACAGTCCTTAATAGGGATTTTGGTACCCCCCCCCCTATTAGAATCCCCATTAAGGAGTGTCAGTATAACAGGGGGGAACATCCCAAACCATTAAACGTGGATCCCGGAGATCCTTGGACCAAGTAACCCCTTCACCCGAACCTAACCTTGACACAGGAAAATGCCTACTTCCGTGGCTTAGAGGAGAAGGAGACTGACGGAGGTGCGCCGCTTCTACGTGGCCCCGACGTAGGGGGCTTTAGGGTTTGGGTTGTATAGGGGTTAGGAGGAGAGGGTGTGGTGCTACTGGGTTGCGGAGCCAAAGCCCTAGCCCGAAACCCCCAAACCCCAAGCCCTTAAGCCTAAACACCTCCAAGTGCAGTGTCCCGACAGAACTTTAGGGCTTCGTGACCCTAAACCGTATACCCCTATAACCCTGTAACTCTCTATAAAATCCTAAATCTCCTATAGCCCTAGAACACCCTAGAACCCTATACTCTTCGGGTTGGGAGTCAGGGTTCAGAGTTCTTTGTTTTAGGGGGATTGGAGGCAATAACGTTGACATCATAGCCTGGGTTGTTTGGTGAAGAACTCACCTGAGGGTGTCAGGGTTTAGGGTTTAGGGTTTTGGGGTTTAGGGTTTATGCAGAGTTTCAGGGTTTCAGGCTGTTAGGCTAGGTAGGGCCTTGGGATATTGTATGCTTCCCCTTTTTCCTTTTACTGGGTTTAAGACGATCATATTCGGAATATTTGTTCAGAGCGTTTCAAGGGCCATCCTAGAGGCGTTCTGGGGGCTTTGGGGTTTCAGGCGTTGTTAGGTTTTGGGCGTCGAGGGTTTTTTCGGTGGGCTTTAAGAAGTTTCATGGTTTAGGGCGGGGGCGTTTGCAGATGGGGGGGGGGGGGGTTGAGGCTTGAGGGTTTGAGGATTGTTTCAGGGTTGTAGCCTAAACTGGCTTATTCAAGCACGGCAAGGGATTCGGGATATTGGAGAGATATATTCTAAGTTGCCCTAAACCCTAAACCCTAAACCCTAAACTCCTAGGTCCCTTCTTGGGTGTCCTAGCAGCTGCAAGCTTAGCTGTTCAAGTTCGCAGGCACGGAGGCCGTGAAGCACAAGGCGGAGGAGAGAGTTCCGCCCCGACAAGATTCCGAGAATGGTCAGTGTCTATATAGGTTTTATATAGGGTTTCGGGTTTAGGGTTTAGGGTTTAGGGTTACCGGTTGCTCTTTTCTACAATCCTGTACAGAAGCCTGATGCCTTGTCCCCCCACGAGTTCGTCGAAGCTCTGTAAAAAACTTGTCCTGCTGTCTTGTACGCATAGCACATGTAGACACAATACATTGATACGGGTACGGACATACACACACGAAACACACACGAAACACACACGCACACACAAACTAGTATACTTGTTATATAAACCTAAACCCCAAACCTTGAAACCTAAACCCTATATATGTATGTATATATATATATATGTATTTTTGATATTTATTTATTGGACATGTGCCTATGTCTATATGTATACATAGGCAATGTATGTATATATGTATATATTTACATACGTATATATGTATGTATGTGTAGATGTATATATGCATATTATGTATATATGTATATATGTATATATGTATATATGTATATATGTATATATGTATATATGTATATATGTATATATGTATATATGTATATATGTATATATGTAGATATGTATATATGTATATATGTATATATGTATATATGTATATATGTATATATGTATATATGTATATATGTATATATGTATATATGTATATATGTATATATGTATATATGTATATATGTATATATGTATATGTATACATGTATATATGTATATGTATATATGTGTATCATCTGTGCGCACATGCATTTAATTGCTTCGCGTACCTCCCCTTTATTTCCGAGCAACCCTCTGAGCCTCTTCTTCGAAGCGCTCAGTCCCTGCAGGATCTTCAGCTCTTTCGGGGCTGTGGGCGGAGAGCCTCGTCACACTGGGAACTCACCAAGGCCAAAACTTGAGGTTTAGGGGCTTAGGGGTTTAGGGTTTAGGGTTTAGGGTTTAGGGTTTAGGGTTTAGGGTTTAGGGTTTATTTTAGTTGCCTTGGGGCTTTAGGGTCTAGGGCGCCCTATACGACCCAAAAACAAGGTTGCCCAGCATGTGTCCAGGTTCCCTGGACTGTGATGGGCATACGGTTTGGTATGAGACCCACAAATAAATCGCGTTTGGGTACCGCAAAAACCCTGAACCCTTTGAACTCGGATGTTCGGTCCAGCACAACCGCGGTTCTTTTTTTCAGACAAGCTCTTGGGCGTTTCCGGCCTGCAGCCCTAAACCCGAACCCTCTAAACCCCATAGAAAGCTTGCGGGCCTAAACCCTAAACCCTAAACCCTAAACCCCTTATAAGGCACTACGTCCCAACGCGCTGACCACAACTGAGGCTTTACGCAGGACATTGGCAGCTTCATCGGCCGACGAGCCTATAAACCTGGTCAGGCCAGGCTCAGGGTTTAGGGTTCAGGGTTCAGGGTTTAGGGTTTAGGGTTTAGGGTTTAGGGTTTAGGGGTTAGGGGTTAGGGGTTAGGGTTGAGGATGCAATGTTCATGGTTTAGGGTTTATACTAGGACCCAGAGTAGGCCCTCATTCCACTTTTTTGGCTTCGGTTCCATTCGAAACCCCAGAAAACCAAGGGTTTAGGGTTTAGGGTCTAGGGTTTAGGGTTTAGGGTTCTTGTTTAGGGTTAGGGTTTAGGGCTACTCTTGGGTTTCGCATAATGGTCCGGGTTCCGGGCTTAGGGTTTGCAAGCCCTTCAGGGCTTTCAGTGATTTCCGCGAGGTGGGGAGAAACCCGAAACCCAAAACCCTAAAGCCTAAACCCTAAACCCTACATAAGCCCTAAACAGGCCCTAAACCCCCAAACCCTAATACTAAACCCTAAACCCTCAACCCTGTGGCGAGCATGGGGTAACCCCCGCAACGTGAAGCGTCGGTGCTCGGGGCAAAGATCCGAGACAGCCCAATACCCCTTCGCTGGGGTTTAGGGTTTGGAGTTTAGGGTTTAGGGTTTAGGGTCTAGGCTAGGGTTTAGGGTTTAGGGTTTAGGGTTCAGGGTTTTGGGTTTAGGGTTTAGGGTTTAGGGTTCAGGGTTTAGGGTTTAGGGTTTTGGGCAATATATACCTGGTACACTTGAGCTAGATGAGTTAAGGGATATTCCTTCACTTCCCATGCGTGTTAGGGCCGTTTCGTGCGGGATTCTACAGGGTCACGGGCTGAGTGCCACACCAGCATAGCAAACCCTTGTACAAGGGTTACGGCGGTGCAGGGTTCGGGGCCCTATTGCACTAAACCCTAAAACCTGAACCCTAAACCTCCCAGCTACAGCACGGCATTGGGGGGGGAAGGGGGGAAGGGGGTAAGGAGGGAAGGGGAGTATAGAGGTGGGGTACCTGCTTTAATTATGCTCCCCACACTCGTACGTCCCGAGACCTCGGCAGATTACACTCGGCAGATTACACACTCTGCACATACGTCTGAGTGATTTCATTCCCATGTTGAGAAGTCGAGAGTCTACTTGCAGTTGGGTGCTGATGAGGGTTGCCAGGGCAGTTGAATCAGACCACGTGGCGGTGCAAACCACACAGCACGCCCAACCTGCCCTACATATACGTTTTTGAAAGCTCGAGGGCCCATGATGGCAGCTGCTATCTGGCACTACGCACATTAAGCTAAACGAATGTCCGTTGTCCTCCGGCTGCAATTGCTTTGCGAAGGTTCGTGTAGGGGCCAGCCGCTCCACCAGAGGAAGCTGCTAGCAGCACCTCTCTTTCCTAAGCTTTATCCGGGTGTCCTCGCACGTTTTTGCTTTCATCTACTGCGCCAGCTCGCGCGCCTGCTATGCCTCACCATGGATGATCCTTACAAACAGACGGCTATATGGGGGTTTCCGAACTTAGGGGTGCCTTATTGGAGTCCTTATATAAGGGGATCCTACTATTTGGGGGTGTATATTGGGGTCCCCTATTTTCTGGATGCGCAGCGTCCAGTACTTCGTTGGTGCGAGTTGCGCATGAATTCGGGCTCTTCGTTGGCTTGGTTCAGGGTTCAGGGTTTAGGGTTTAGGGTTTAGTGTTTAGGGTTTAGTGTTTGGCGATTAGGATTTAGGGTTTTGGGTTTTGGGTTAGGGTAGATTTACGCATGATGCAGTGGATATGGGGTTCTGTGCCCAAAGCCCGTTGTGATTGAAAAGTCTCTTGGCTCATGCGCGATGGTGCGCTTGGGGTGTAGGCAGGTGCATGCAAGGCAGGACTGTCCAGGTCGACTTTCAGAGGTCGCACAGAAAAAGCAGAAGCAAGCGCGCAAAGGCATGCCGAATCTCTCGCAAAAAGAAGAGGCATCACGACCACCGTGAACTAAAGTTGTGAAGGTCTGCAGCGCGAACCTCATGAGAAACACTGATGGAGCAAGGCACAGTTTCCACCACAAGTTTCGCGCACACCTCTGCAGCAGCTGTAGTGTTAGAGGGAGGGTGGGTGGAGGGCTTCAGGCAAGTTGATCCGAAAAGCCCAATACTAGTGACTGAAGGAATACACCTTAATTCAGTCATGTTGGGATTCCTACTGTGGTGTAAAGCCTATATACTCCTTACATGTGGGGTACTGAACTCCGTGGGTGAGTGTTAGAAGTCGAGGGCTAGAGATTGAGAGTTGAAGGCTTCAGAGTCCTGACTTTAGAGTCGACGTTTTCATTGGATTTTCGGGTTCAGGTCTTCAGTTGCTTTAGGGGTTTTCGGGTTCAGGTCTTGGGTTGCTTTAGGGGTTTTAGGTTTTACGTTTTGTCTTTGCGCTCCAAGCTCGCTTGAGTCTGGAATTCTGGAGCTGCATTCTGGTTCACGGTTGCTGAAGTAGGGTGTAGGGTTTAGGGTCTATAGGGTTTAGGGTTTCAGGGTTTAATTTTGGGATTTAGGGTTTAGGGTTTAGGGTTTAGGGTTTAGGGTTTAGTTCCAGCTTTGAAAGAGAAGGGCTCCTAGTTTGAAAACTCACAACACGGACACTGGAACAACTGGCATTCCTCGACCCAATACGCATACTCTTTAGGGGCACCTTTACCGACACCTAGTGTTCGGGTTTTAGGGTTTAGGGTTTCGGGTTTAGGGTTTAGGGTTTAGGGTTAGGATTTAGGGTTTAGGGTTTAGGGTTTAGGGTTTAGGGTTTAGGATTTAGGGTTTAGGGTTTAGGGTTTAGGGTTTAGGGAACCCCATGACTGCCAGGCCATCGTTGTGCAAAAGGCTGCGGATGGCGGATCCTACGCAGCACTGGGGGGGGCGGGAGAGGGTGGGAGCCCAGGTTCTTGGGGTTCGACTCTCGGAGCCTGGTGGCAGCGCAAAACCGGAAGATAAACCACCTTATCCTCGAGAGATACCGGGAAACCTAGGGGTCTTGAGAGGAGAGTTCAGGCGCTCAAGATGTAAGGGTTTTGAGAGTTCAGCTCAGGCTCTCAAGACTTTAGGGGTTGAGACAGGGCTTCAAGAGTCTGGGGTCTCAAGCGTGCCTCAGGGAGTTATACCAGGCCTTGTTGGGTCGTGTTGGCTTTTAAGGGTTTAGGGTGCAGGGCTTCTGTTCTACCCACAGAGCCGAACAGTCTCCTGGCTCAGGAGCATGCCTATGGTTCTATCCGAATACGAGTACTTATACCCTAAACCCTAAACCCTAAACCCGAACCCCGAAATATGTCAAGGTCAATTCCCTCCGGAGCTTTGGGCATGGTCCGTAACTCTGGATCGTAGGGTGGTTGAGTGTTCTGGGTGGGTTTAGGTTTCAGGAGGTCGTGCCAGCTTTAAGGTTTAAGGTTTAGGGTTTAGGGTTTACGGTTTAGGGTTTAGGGTTCGCTTTCAAGGTTCCCCTCTACTTCCGAAGCCCAGGATCGCTCTTCATCGTGACGGGCGGCCGCGCCGCAGTGCTGATCTACAGCAAGGTCAAGGAGGCGGAAAGAGGGTGGAGAGCCCTAAGCCCTAAACCCTAAACCCTAAACCCTAAACCCTAAACCCTAAACCCTAAACCCTAAACCCTAAACCCTAAACCCTAAACCCAGGGTGGAGAGTTTAGGAATCTAGGGTTTTTAGGACTTCTGGGTTAGGGTCTTAACATGGTCCCTTACCTTCTTTAAAGGGTTGTGAAGTATTGGCCCTCGGGTTCTACAGGGTAAAAAAGGGGAAAAGAGAAGGTCCTCCCTATATCGGTTCCATATACAATATGGATGTTTCTAGAAACCTTGCTGATAGTTATGTGCGGGTGACGATTGACATGTAAGCTTTGGTTGATCCACCTAACCCTACGCCCTAAACCCTAAGTCCTAAGCCCTAAACCCTAAACTGCTGGACCCTTGTTGCTCCATGCCCTTTGGAGGAAGTCTCAACCGGAGACGTCTTTGGCCCTAAACCCTAAACCGTAAGCCCTAAGCCCTAAACCCTATACCCTAAACCCTAAACCCTAAACCCTCTGCTGGACCCTTGCTGCCCCATGCCCTTTGGAGGAAATCTCAACCGGAGACGTCTTTGGAGACTCGGCTGCCATGGATTGACGGCCAACCCGTACTCTGTTCTTGAATTCCCGGGTTCCCCTCCCCAAAGCTACACAAGATCGGTTTGGGGTTTAGGGTTTAGGGTTTAGGGTTTAGGGTTTAGGGTTTAGGGTTTAGGGTTTAGGGTTTAGGGTTTAGGGTTTAGGGTTTAGGGTTTAGGGCGAAGGGTTTAGCGTTGGGTTTAGTTCCATAAACCCCTTATACCCTAAACCCAAACACCCCCTGGACCCATAACCCGCGCCCCTCCACTTGCCCTTTGAAGAAGCCTGGCCTGGTCCAGTCGGCCCTCTCATGAACAACTTTATTTAGGGTTTGGGGTTTGGGGTTTAGGGTTTAGGGTTTAGGGTTTAGGGTTCTGGGTTTAGGGTCCCTTATGAAACCCTAAGCCCGAAACCCTGAACCCTAAACCCCCGCAAACACGAAACGATACCGGGCTTTTCTTCTCCTAGGATGCTGGGCCAACGTACTGACAAGCTCTGCAGCTGCCACCCGCCTCAACACCCGCAGGTTTCTGACACCCCTCAAACCCCTAAACACCGAAACCAGCCTAAGCCCTAAGCCCTCAGCCCTAAACCCTAAACCCTAAACCCTAAACCCTAAACCCTAAACCCTAAACCCTAAACCCTAAACCCTACAAGTAGGTAAGGAGCCCAGCTTGTCTTCCCAGGTGAGCTTGCACTCTTGGGTCTGGTGCTGCGACGGGCTGTGAGCGGCTGAGCATGAGGACTCCAATTAGGGCTTAGGGTTTAGGGTTTAGGGTTAAGGGTTTAGGGTTTAGGGCTTAGGTTTTAGAGTTTAGGGCTTAGGTTTTAGGGTTTAGGGTTTAGGTTTTAGGGTTTAGGGTTTAGGTAGGCCTAAACCAAAAAACCCTAGAACCCCAAAACTTTCGGGCGCACTGGAGTTTCAGGGCTGTAGGGGTTTTTGTTCTAGGCTGCTTGGAGGGTGGATTCTGGCTTTGGAGCGTTGGGCTCCAGGAGGGTCTGGGGTTTGGGGTGCAGGGTTTAGGGATTTAGGGTGTAGGGTTTGGGGGTTTGGGGATTTAGGGTTTAGGAATTTAGGGTTTAGGGATTCAGGTTTAGGGTTTAGGGTTTAGGGCGTTGAGTCAGGGGGGAAGCCCACAAATAGATCCCGCCCATCTTCTACCAAGGCCATCATCACCTGCGCACGAAGAAGCCCTGAACTCTCAACCCTAAACCCTAATCCCTAAACCCTAAACCCTAAACCCAGAATCTTAAGCTTAAACCCTCCAGGGTTGGGGGGGGGGGGGGGGCTGCAGGCCAGTGGGGCCATTCCTATTATTGTTACTAGTTTGTTTGTTTCGGGGGAGCGGAATCCTCATAACAGAGTTGAGCTTTGTTCAAAAGGCATGTCTCGCTGAACAGCATAAACCGGATCCAGGGTTTGCGGGGCCGCCATAGCAGCATGAAGGCTGTCATCTGGACGCCGTTTTTAATTATGTGACCAGTCAAGAATGGTGGTTCTCTATAGTCCCCTTTTTTAGATCCCTACATAGTACGGCCCAAGTTCGTCATCAGCGGCAAGCTTTCCTTGGGCTGATGACAGCGGGACGTTAAGAGAGAAGCCTTCATTACTTGGAGGCTCACGGGTACTTGCAACCTTAATTATAAGTCTACTTGTAACCTACTTAAGGGACTTAGGGAGCTTTTAAGTACAGTAACTGTGGTATTAAAAAAACCCTAAACCCGAAACCGTAAACCCTAACCCCTAAATCCTAAACCCTAAACCCTAAAACCCTAAACCCTAACTAAGCCTAATTGGGGGGTACGCGTGCGTAGATCATGACCTGGGCATCCTCGGCTGCCGAGATGCAGTGCTGACAGAGAGGCGGTGCAAAGTGCACTGGCCGCACTTAGGGTTGAGGGGTTGAGGGTTGAGGGTTTAGGGTTTAGGGTTTAGGGTTTAGGGTTTAGGGTTTAGGGTTTAGGGTTTAGGGTTTAGGGGCACAAACGCGCGTTCAGCTCAGACAGGAGGGTGGCTCGAAGGCTCGCTTACTTCTCTGAGAGGAGCTTTCTCTGAGAGGCGCACTCACGCAGGGACAGACGCTTGCAGAATGTCGCTTTCCCAGACGGCTTGCATGCTTGTCAGTAGTGGATGGGATGGACCAGGGGAAGTTCCGGGCACATGTCGCTCAGACCAAGGAACTCGAAAAAACCTGGCGTCCGCAGTTTTAGGGTTTGGGGGTTTAGGGTTTAGGGTTTAGGTCACTGCTCCTGTGTCATCGTGCACGGTGTCGGGGAGCTCTACCTGGTGACTGACTCTGATTTGCTCAATCAGAGCAATGCCAACCTCAGCATGATCGGCGTGTCTGACGGCACCTTGTTAGAATCTTGTTAGACTAAAAAAAATTTCCCCCTCCAAAAGCCTATTCTAATTCTTCAAGCCCCCTAAATGATTTGGTTTCTTCCCCCCGCGACTCGCCGAGTAGAGCTGTCGCTGCGAAAGCCAGGAACAGTTCGGTTATCTAGGCGCATTCGAGTTCTTATCCCCTCCTGAATGTATGCGGATGTTATCTAGGAGATTTTGTCAAAGGGCTTCATGCGTTCTAGCCGGGGTTATCAGCACTACCCTACACCCCCAAACCCCTGAGCCCCTTCAACCCCTCAAACCCCTCAAACCCTTAACCCCTAGATCCCTAAACCACTAAACCCCTAAACCCTAAACCACTAAACCCCTGAACCCCTGAACCTCTCAACCCCTCAACCCCTAAACCCTAAACCCTAAACCCTAAACCCTAAACCCTAAACCCTACTGTAAACCCCTTAACCCTACACCCCAAGGCCACCGTGGCCGCCATCACATACTGCACCTGTCTCGAGATGCCGAAGAAGGCTCGCCTCGGTCTTTTGGATTCTTCGGGTTTAGGTTTAGGGTTTAGGATTTAGGGTTTAGGGTTTGGGGTTCAGGGTTTAGGGTTTAGGGTTCAGGGCTTAAGACTCTTAGGTTTGGGGGTTTAGAACTCTTAGGCTGTGGAGGCTTAGAGTCTAGATGTGTCGTAGGCTGACTCGACCCAATCCGCTTGCTCGCATCGTAATAATGTTCCCACGCCAGCAACCATCAACCCTAAACCCTAAACCCTAAACATTGTCATCTAGGCTTCCATAGACCCTAAATCCTAAACCGCTTCTTCTTACCCACATGCCCGAGCACTCATGCCTTTTGTCGGCGTCAGTCTGGGTTTTGGGTGCTGCGGGGCATGAAGTGGTTATGCTTGAATCCTTCAGAGGTTGCATAGCATTTAGGTTCCCTAAAAACTTAACCCTTAACCCTCAACCCCATTAATTTTTGTGGTTGCTTCTGTCTCCTTCAAGCTTACTGCTTGGCAACACGGTGTTCTTTTTGTTGGCTTAGGGTCACCCCTAATTTCTGTTTAGGGTTTAGGGTTTAGGGTTTAGGGTTTGGGGTTCAGGATTCAGGGTTTAGGGTTTAGGGTCCGCAACCCACGGCGTACAAACTGGGGCTTTAGGCGTTACCATCCTAGAGCCCCCAGCTACGCTGAGCAACCCGGAATGCGACTAAACCCAGTTACACCCTAGACCCTAAACCCTAAACCCTAAACCCTAAATGCCCGAATCCGTATATCCCTCAATCTCTATAGGATCCAGGCTCCGGATAGGTTTTCGCACTAACGACAAGGCCCCCGGTCCAACCGCAGTCCACCCCCCTAAGAACTCTAAGCCCCTAATTTCTGTTTAGGGTTTAGGGTTTAGGGTTTAGGGTTTAGGGTTTAGGGTTTAGGGTTTAGGGTCCCCTGAAGACGCCGCCAACTCCAAAGCTCAACCATGCGCAGGCCTTTGTGAAAGCCCTGGATCGGCACCCCGAGGACAGCCCGCTGTCTGACTTGCCGAGAGGTGGGTTTAGGGTTTAGGGTTTAGGGCTTAGGGTTTAGGGTTTAGGGTTTAGGGTTTAGGGTTTAGGGTTTAGGGTTTAGGGTTTAGTTCTGTCAACTGTTAACCCTGAATGCAAGCGTTGGACAGCATCAGTCTTTGGAGGAGTTGGCATTCCTCGAGGGAGATGCCGAAACAGGTGACACGCAGCCTAGACGACAAGTCAATGGCCAATCTCTTCTACAGGGGTCGGAATAATTACTAATAGTATTCCCTTATGGCCCCTGTGTAAAAATTCTAGAAGAACCCCCTCAAAAAACAACAAAAAAACAACTATTCTGATTATTATTATTAAGCTCACTTTCTTCAACACTGCCAGCGGCCTGTGGCCATTGTGGCTGTTGACCACCCACTTCAAGGCAGCATTGGCACTTGCCTCACTAGCTTGTCAAACAAGTGAGCGGCTTAACTCACGTTGGCAGCCAAGGTACTATTATTACTATTTTTTATATTATTCTTACGATTATTATTACTACGATTATTACTACGATTATTACTACTTTTATTATTGACATTATTATTAATATTATTGTTATTATTATTGTTATCATTATTATCATTTTTAATATATTCTTATTATTACTACTATTAGTCTGAGGGTCAATCGACATGGAGCCGCCCTGGGGGGGGGGGGGGGGGGGGGGCACCATCTCGAAGGTGGCGGATGCGCTGGCATTCACTTGCAAGGAAGAGCGGAATCATCGGCAGTTCGACAAAAACATCTACCGCGACCATGACTCAAACCCCTGCTAAAGCCTACAAGCCCTAAACACCCTAAAAGCCTGGCAAACCCTTCAAACCCTCTAAGCCCTACAATCCCTCTACGATGGACCTCCAGAGCTGCATCTTCGGGAACCGTCTTTCAGCTCTGGGAGCATTATGGGCGCTGTGACTGGGCTGTTCAGTCGGAGAGCTTCAGTTGTGGCCCAATTTTTAAGGTACGAAACCCATGGCAGCCCAGTGGTACCCTTTACCCTTTTTTGGTTATGAGTTCCCTTGTAGAAAAACCAACCAAAAAAAGGGTGCCCTTATTATAATGTGGTTACTGGCTAAACCAAGTGGATCCGGAAATGCCTGAAGCTTCGAGAGCCCCAATAAACTAACAAAGATCATTAAAGATATGCTACGGGGGTAGCGGGTACTATCTTTACCATGGTCTGCTGGGTTCAGGGGAATACAGGACTGGGAGACCTAAGTCCTTAGCAATAATTAGTATCCTTGCATAACAACATGTTAGATACCAAAAGGCAGTAAGCAGGCCCCGATACTCGCCTTACCCCACATCTGTCATCCGCAAGGCCCTAAGACTCAAACCTCCTAACCCTGACAAAATTCTAAACCCAAACGCTCTGGAACACCAAACCCTAGACCCCCAGACCCTAAACCCCAAACCCAAAAGCTCTGGAGCACCAGACCCTACACCCCTAAACCCTAAACCCTAAACCCTAAACCCTCAAGCACCAACCGATCTTGGAAGGAGATCGAACACTTCGAACAGCCGTGGCCTCGAGCGCTTCAGGGGTTTCAAGGGTTTCGGTGCTTGGAGGGTTTAGGGTTTAGGGTTTAGGGTTTAGGGTTTAGGGTTTAGGGCTCAGGGTTCAGGGTTTAGTTTATGGCTTCACCCTAACCCCGACCCGCTCCAAAAAGACCTCGAGCTGCTTAAACCCTAAGCCCTAGGCCCTAGACCCGAGACCCTAAGTTCGGATCGGGGGCTGGCGGCAGCCGACCGGGTGGAGAGGCTTTGTGTTGCTCTTCTCGCACAAAGTGCCCAGGTAATTTTTCGACTTGCCGCATCTTGATGGCCTTCTCTTACGGGTTCTTAGTAGGGTTTAGGGTGCAGGGTGTAGGGTTTAGGGTTTAGGTTGATAGAGCCTCTTCATGGAATGTGTGGGTACCGAGTTCACTCATTGCATGCTAAGAACCAGCAAGTGTAGTTCCGAGGGGCGAAATAGACACTCGGAGTGTGGTGACAAGATGCCTGGGTCATTGGTGCCCAGAATCATCTCACAACCGTGAAACGAGGTTCTTAAGCAAATTAGTAGTAAACCCAATTCTTCTGAAGGGGAATATAGGGATTGTTGTGTTTTCTTAGTTTTTTTTCAGGGTTCTTAAGCAAATTAGTGTAAACCAAGGCCTTCTATTTAGGGTTTAGGGTTTAGGGTTTAGGGTTTAGGGTTTAGGGTGCCTCTAGACCCATTCATCAACTGGGAGGCTGACCAGGCTCCATGGCGCCGCGGTGGCGAAAGAGATGGGCACCTGGCCCTTTCTCACGAAGGCGCCCAAGGGTTTAGGGTTCAGGGTTCAGGGTTTAGGGTTTAGGGTTTAGGGTTTGGGGGTTCTGGGGGTGGTTTGGGATTTCTGTTGCAGGGTCGGGTTAAGGCATTCTGGGGCTTTAAGGTTTGAGGGCCCTAAACCGCAAGCCCTAAACCCCAAGCCCACCCTAAACCCTAAACCCTAGACCCCAAGAAGTCTTCAACCCCGAACCTGAGCCGCATGCCCAAGCTTTACTTGGGTACCCATTTCGAGCATGTGAATTCTGCATGCGCGTGAGTTCCTGGACTCTCCTCTTGTACTTCTGCTTTGCAGTCAGAGGGTCAGAGTTTAGAGTTTAGGGTTTCGGGTTTAGGGTTTAGGCTTACATCAAGCTTAAAGTCCAAAGGCCAAAACTGCGCCCGATTCCTTTCGGCGCTTTGGCTATGGCCCCCTCCCCACTGCAACGTCAGCAAAACCGTTGGGAGATGAGTGAATGCATGAAGAAGAAGCATGAAATGAACAGATGTTGCATTGCACTTAGAAAAAGACATTTGGGGCTGAGCTCCTTCACAGACCACTTCTCTGTTCTTCTATATTGCAAGTGATATTCCTCACAGTTTTGGATACCAAATTTAGGTCAACCCTTAACTTAGTATTGCTAGCACAGTCGGCCTTGGGAATAACTGGGAAACCTTGAACCTCTTTGGGCAAGATACCCTCGCTTGACTTGCTATATGCGCCACGCCCTCTACTACACGGGGTACCAATTTTCACTACCTCCGTCCCCTAAACCCTAAACCCTCAACCCTAAACCCTCAACCCTAAACCCTAAACCCTAAACCCTAAACCCTAAGAAACTCAACCTTTACCTTCTTTGGGTACTCGAAATCCCCCTGACGACGAACTCTGAATCGGGAAACTGATTACAGGGCCCCAGAATTTCCTCTAGTCCTCAACCCTAAACCATAAACCCTAAATCCTAAAAAGTCCCTTACGACGAACCAGCGAGTTGAAAGGACCTGAAGGAACCGGTAACCAGGATGGTAGGTGAGTATACCCTTTCGACCCTAGGACAGGCCACCATGTTTAGTTGATTATGAGAACCCTAAACCCTCAACCCTAAACCCCAAACCCCAAACCCTAAACCCTAAACCCTAAACCCTAAACCCTAAACCCTAAACCCTAAACCCTAAACCCTGAGCCCATCCCGTACTTGAAACCCATGGCAGGCCACGGAACGCCTGCTCCACGATGGCACGTTCAGTCAGGGGTTCAGGGCTACAACGGCCCCAAAGTTCAGGGTTAGGGTTTAGGCTTTAGGGTTTACGGTTTAGGGTTTGAAACAAGCCCTAAACCCCTACCAGGTAGGTTCTTGGGAGATTTCATATTTTCCCTTATCGCGTTTAAGATATTCAGGAATATTTTTCAGAGGCTGTTAAGGGCCGTACAGTAAACTCCAGAAAGTTGGAACATGGTCTACGGATGAGTAGAGCTGGGATTCCCTTTGGCATGCCTTTTGTCCAAGAGGATAAGGATGAAACACAAAGCCCTAAACCCTAAGCCCTAAGTGCAAGACCATGACTCCTTGGTGAACCTCAAAGGGGTTCCGTTGCTGAAGTTTACAGGGTAAGGCCCAGACGAAGAACAGATCGATAAGAACAAAAGAAGTAAAAGCTCCTCTCCTCTCAGAAATTCCCTAAACCCTAAGACCTAAACCCTAAACGTCATCTATCATAAGCACCCCGCAGTTTCCACGTGAGGGGTCAGGGCTTCGGGCTTAGAGTCGTTTCTTTTTATATGGGGCGGTGCAAAGATGGTTTAGGACTCCCCTGCACTTCATCCATATCCCCTGAACCCTAAACCCTAGACCCTAATTCCGTTACTCTTGAGCGTGTACTCGTAGGGCGGCTCAGGCCCGTGGGGGTCAGGCTTTGGGGTGTCTTGGGGCGGTTGTAGTCTTCCTAAACCCTAAACCCTAAACCCTACACCCTAAACCCTAAACCCTCCTTGTTCAGCCGCCCCGAAACCTAGAGGCCTAGAGGCCAGAGGAGGAGGTTGGATAGTTCAGATAGTGTCGGAGCCCCCGGAACTCCTAGGGGGAAGTTCTATGGTCCCTTATGGTCTTGGACATTTCGGTTTTAGGGTTTAGAGTTTAGGGGTCTAGGGTTTAGGGTGGGTCTCTGCACAACTCGCTTCAGACATGACGGTGACCGCGGATTTGACCAGACACATCTCCAGTATGAGCTGGCACACGTCCTCCCTGGACGACTTCAAACACCGGCTTCGCGAGCTCTGCCGCCTCGTTTCAATGTTGAACCACGAGCCGGCGAACTCAGCAAACGAGACCTCGCCGAAAATGAACGCCGGCCAGCAGGTATCTCCCAAAATCCCGGGCGTTCTCATGCCAGACGAGCTGAAACCCCAAACCCTAAACCCTAAACCCTAAACCCTAAACCCTAAACCCCACTATGCCCTGCATCCGAGGCTCTACTACGTGAACCTCCACGCCTCCCGCGAGAGCGGCTTGGGGGCAGCTGTTGTGTACTTATAACCATCTTAGGGCACTTAAGGGGGTTGTACTTGTAACTGTACTTATAACCCTATTAGGGCACTTAAGGGGCTTATAAATGGGTTGTGAGTACAGTTCTCATTGGTTAATAAGTACCATGAACCTCCAAGCATCTGTTGGCTTGGAGGTCGCGGCTCTTTGATTGAGGCGGTCTCAAGACATACCCTCCTCATTGGGATTCCGGGGGGTTAGGGTTTAGGGTGTGGGGTTTAGGGGTTGGGGTTTAGGGTTTAAGGTGTGGGGTGTAGGGTTTAGGGTTTAGGGTTAATTTTAGAGTTTAGGGTTTCTATGTGTGACCCGACTTGCTGGTGGTTGGTCTTAAGTTATCAAGATTGGGAATCCTAAGGCTTAAAAAACTCAGGGGTTTAGGGGGTGCACTCTAAAGCTTGCGGGGCCCAGATAACCCATGCCCATGTAATATACCTTCGTTCATCTTATTGTCCCCAATCTTTGTCATAGTGAGGTAACATTTTACATCTTTAAGGGTACTTAAACTCAATAAGCAATAGAATTTTAGACATTTGATACTACAGAAATTTACACATTTAATACTGTCCCAACCATGAACTAGTAATCGAGTTTTTTTGTATTTTCCTGCTAGAAAAAGGGATGTTGGGCTCACTGGGAAGAGGCTTGCGCTTAGGTTTCGGGTTTAGGGTTTCGGGTTTAGGGTCTAGGGTTTAGGGAGTGAAGGGTTTCGGGTTTAGGGTCTAGGGATTGTAGGGTTGATAAGGTTTTCATGCGACACGTGGGAATTGAACGCCCGATGAACCTGAAGCATAGGACATGTTTTGTTGTTCTCATGAGATGAGTTGACACATGGCCCCACACCCTTTTCCATCGCCCGCTATGGAACCAACTAGCTTTCAGGAATGTAGGGTTTGGGGATGAATATTTGGCTTTGGTCACTTCTCTACATGATGCTCCCTTTACTTTTTGGGCACCCTTAATAAGAGGGACCGCCTTATAAGAGCAATCCCAACAGGCACCCTGAAACATTGAGCCCTGAACCTCGTCGGCGCCGCCACGAAAGCCTGAGGCACTCCGGTGGGTCAGTGGACCAGCCGGGATGGCGTTGAGATTCCGACGGACATGGCCTTCCTGGTCGTCTCAGGCTCGGGTCAGGCTTTAGGGCGCAGGGCTTACCCTAAAGCCAAGAGTCTAGGGGTCGGAATAGTTACGAATCGTATTCTTTGAGGGTCCCTATGTAATTATACCATAATAAGCCCCCCAAACCCTATTCGAATTATTCAGGCCTCTATGGTAAACCCTGTAAACCCTGAAGCCCTTGAACCCCAAACCCTTGGAGCTGGGGGTCAACAGCCCGCAGGGTTTAAAAGGTTTGGCTTGCAGGCTTGGGTTTGGGGTATGGGGTTTAGGGCTCAGGGTTCAGGGTTTAGGGTATAGGCTTTAGGGCTTAGGGTTGAGGGTTTAGGGCTTAGTGCTTAGGGCTTCGGGGTATGGGGGTATTGGGGGTATTGGGGGTATTGGGGGTATTGGGGGTGTTGGGGTTTGGGGGTCAGGGTTTAGGAGATGCTTCCTACCGACGCTTCCTAGGTTGTGGGGAGTTCAAGTGACTTCAGGGTTGTGGCGGTTATTTAGGGTTTATATTTGGGGTTAAGGGGTTTAGGGCATGGGGTTGCTGAGTAGGTACCGCACTGCCGATGCTCGAAAAAACCTCGTACCTTCAGCCTTTCCGGCATCCCCAAACCCGAACTTTCGGATTTAGGATTTTCGGGTTTAGGCTTGGAGGCATGATTGCAGAAGTCGAGGAGCACAAAAGCCGAGTCGTTTTTGGGCATAAGGGGTGATAGGGCTTCGCCTTCAAAGCCCGAAACAAGACCTAACCCTAAACCCTAAACCCTAAACCCTAAACCCTAAACCCTAAACCCTAAACCCTAAACCCTAAACCCCTGAACCTGAGGGTTGAATCAGGGTCTGGGGGCCCTAAACCCAAACCAGCCGCAGGAGAGATCTACGTGTCTGAAAACAGCGGCCGGCGCATGCTCATGGCAGAAGGCAGCTGCTTCGGCACCTCCGGTCCTGATTCAGGAGGCTTAGGGTTTAGGGTTTAGGGTTTAGGGTTCGGGGGTTTAGGGTTTAGGGTTTCGGGTTTCGGGTTTCGGGTTTCGGGTTTCGTGGGTTTCGGGTTTCTTGGGCTTAGGGTTTGTGGGTATAGGGTTTCTGGGCTTTGGGGCTTAGAGAGATTACAGGGCTTATAGGGTTGTTAGAGGGTTTTTAGCATTTCAGGGGTTTCTAGGCTTTATAAGGTGGTGGGGTTTAGGGGTTGCGGTGGTCTTGGGCAGTCAAAAGCAGGGCGTGGGGGTTAAGCACATTCCACATGTATATACATACATATATGTATAAATAAATATATATATATATAACACATATATATATATATACATATATGCTCATCCACACATTTGGCCTCGGGAAGGCTGGTTTTGGGAGGGGGGGGACTCCAGACTCCAGATTTCCAGAAAAATCTGGAGTACCCCCAGACTCCAGATTTCCAGATTTCTAGAAAAAATCTGGAGTACCGGGACCCTGGACTCCAGATTCTGGAGTCTGTAATCTGGAGTCTGGGGCCCCGAATACTCCAGATTCTTTCTGGAAATCTGGAGTCTGGACTGGGGCCCCGGATACTCCAGATTTTTTCTGGAAATCTGGAGTCTGGAGTCCAGGGCCCCGGTACTCCAGATATTTTCTGGAAATCTGGAGTCTGGAGTCCGGGGCCCCGGTACTCCAGATTTTTTCTGGAAATCTGGAGTCTGGAGTCCGGGGCCCCGGCGGCTCCAGATTTTTCTGGAAGTCTGGAGTCCGGGGCCCGGGTACTCCATATGCACGTTGAGGGATTGCGGTTTAGTGCTTATTGTTTAGGGTTTTTAGGGTTTAGTGTTTAGGGTTCAGAGTTTAGTGTTTAGAGTCTAGTGTTTAGGTTTTGGTTCCAAAGGTTTAGGGTTTACGTTTTAGGGTTTAGGGTTAAGCGACTTGGATAATGTCTAAAACCCCAAACCTTATGATGATGAAGCTTTGAAACCCCTGAAGGACTGAAACCCATATGTTTTTTGGTTTGGTGTCTAGGGTTTAGTGTTTAGGGTGTAGGGTTCAGGTTTTGTTGTTTCGGGTCTAGGGTTTAGTGTCTAGTGTTTAGGGTTTAGTGTGTAGTTTCAGGGTTTCGTGTTTTGTGTTTAGGGTTGAGTGTTAAGTTTAGAGTCTAGGGTTTAGGTTTAGGGTTTAGGGTCAAGCGGCTTGGCTAAAATCCTAAACGAAGTAAAACCCTGAACTCTAAAATCCAAACAGTAAGCATCTGAAACCCCTACCGGTTTTTGGTTTCAGGTTTAGATTTAGGAGGGCTTGAGGTCCCGGCTTTTGGGGGATACTGTTTAGGGTTTAGGGTTTAGTGCTCGGGGTTTAGAGTGTAGGGTTTAGTGTGTAAGGCAACTTTAAAAACCCTTCCGTTTAGGGTTTAGGGTTTAGTATTCAGGGTTTAGTGTGTAACGTTTAGGGTTTAGTTTTTAGGGTATGGTGTTTAAGTGTTTAGTGTTTAGGGTTGACTGCTTAAGCGTTTAGGGTTTCGTGGTAAGTGTTTGGGGGGTTTGTGCTAAGGGCTTAGTGTTAAGTTGTTTGGGTTAGTGTTTGGGGTCTGGTGCTGAGTGTTCAGGGCTTCTTGTTAAGAGTTTCGGGCTTGGTATTTAGGGTTAAGGGTTTTAAGGATTTTTACAAATTCAAATGATCTGGGGAAGGCACCGGGCCTTCCCCATACCATTGGCAACTTTAAAAACCCTTCCGTTTAGGGTTTAGGGTTTAGTATTCAGGGTTTAGTGTGTAATGTTTAGGGTTTAGTTTTTAGGGTGTGGTATTTAAGTGTTTAGTGTTTAGGGTTTACTGCTTAAGCGTTTAGGGTTTCGTGGTAAGTGTTTGGGGGTTTGTGCTAAGGGCTTAGTGTTAAGTTGTTTGGGTTAGTGTTTGGTTTCTGGTGCTGAGTGTTTAGGGTTAAGTGTTAAGAGTTTCGGGCTTGGTTTTTAGGGTTTCGGGTTCCAAGGGTTTTACAAATTTAAATGATCTGGGGAAGGCACCGGGGCCTCCCCAGACCATTTCTCAAAACACTTTTTGAAATTTAAATGGTCTGGGAAAGTCACCGAGGCTTCCCCAGACCATCTGAACTTTTAAAACCCCTACAGTCTTCTAGAAATCTGTAAAATTCTGTTTAAACATTCTCAGGATTTTTAAGGGTTTAAAGGCTTTTTTTTTAACCTTAAACTGCTTAAACGTTTAAGTGGCGGCCCTTTTCGGATTTTAAGGATTTTTAAAGTTGTCAATGGTCTGGAGAAGCCCGGGTGCCTTCCCCAGACCATGGGTTTTTTACAAAGCCTTAAAGTCCTGAAATTCTTACAGTTGTAAATGGCTGTCCTTTTAAAGTTTAGGGCTTTTAGGATGTTCAATTCTAAAATCCGAAACTTCCTTAATGTTGAACGGCTGCCCTTTTAAAATTTTAAGGTATTTTAGAATTTTAAGGGATAAACGTCTTCATGGTTTTAAGGACTTTTAAGCCTTTTGAATCCTGAAAGTTTTGAATGGCTTTAAATACCGTAAAGCCCTTAAAATTTTATAAGGGCTGCCCGTTCAAACACAATTAAGGATTTTAAAGGTTTCAAAAATTTGAAATGGTCTGGGGAAGCCCCGGTGCCTTCCGCAGATCATCTAAATTCCCATAAAACCCCTAAACCCTGAAAAGCCTTAAAATTCTAAATGGCTGCCCTTCTAAAATTTTATGGGGCCACAAGACACACGTTTCAGAAGCAACATGCGCATAAAAACACTAGTGTTTTTATAGGGGATAGTATAACAGAGCTTTGTGTATTCCAGTACAGTTTTTACTGCATTTTTTCCGAGGAAAAAGCAGAAAATCAGACAAAAACGAAGGCAGGAAAACCATAGGTGTGGATCATGGGGGGGGGGGGGCGGGGGTGACCATATATATATATATACACGTAGACATATTGACCCACGAACCTCCAAAGTATGGTTGAGTCAGGTAAAATTCTCTTCCACGATCTGTACCTAGAGGCCCTCTTTTGCAAACCACCGAAGCCCACACCCTAAACCCTAAACCCTAAACCCGAAACCCTAAACCGCAAGCTTGAGGGCCAGGCCAAGCCGGTCTAAGTGGCACAAGAGAAGTTAGGCCGGAAGTCTCCCTCAACCCCTAAACCCCTAAACCCTAAACCCCTAAACCCTAAACCCCAAACCCCAGACCCCCCAATTCCAAACCCAAATCCCACCTGGGAAGCCGAATTTTTTCGGGCCCTTGCCTGTTTTGTTTGGGGGAGGGGGGGGGGGTGTTTGGGGTAGTCGGGGAGTTCGGTTTAAGAGCTTAAGGGCCCAGGGGAGTTTTAGGGGATTGGAGGTTTGGGTTGGGATGTTTTTCCCCCGTACACGAACAGTCCTTAATAGTAATTACAACACCCCCTAGTATAATCCCTACTCAGGACTGTTAGTATAAAGGGGAACACCCCCAGGTCTGGGTATTTAGGATCAGGGGCTGAGGCGTTGAGGGGCTTTAATGGGGTAGCGGCGTAAGGTTTCAATCCGTTCGCACAAAGTTTGAAGCCCCCGAGTACGCCCAGGAGAGCACATACTCATCGGCCTTCCTACGTCGACCTTGAAGATCGAGCCGAAGACGGCTTGTGAGCTGCAGATGATGAACCGACAGACTTTCGTGACCTGGCGCGCGTTCTCGGGGCGGTCAGGTCCTTGAAAGAGCAAACCCTTACAACTGCCCAAATGGCCAGGACTATAGAGTACTCACTTTTATGGCCTCTTTTTTGCTGGGGCGCGGGGAGAGATCACTGTCATGGCCTCTTTTGTTAGTGGTGCGGGGAACATGATTCAGAGCGCTGGCCTAATGTCTTTGGCATGCGTTGACTGCTTTCTTAAATGGCCTGAGTGTGGTATGAGGTGTGCGGTCGAAAGGTCCTTGGGGTGTGGCTCACTCATGGAGTTGAAGCGATTGATCTCTTCCTCTTTCTGCTATGTTTGTAGGGCAAGGTCCCGAAACCCCAAGCTCTAAACCCTAAACCCTTTACGGCCAAGGGTCAAAACGATAATTTCCCCCAAGCGGGACCACACTTGATGAAACCGGCCACGTATGGAGAGCGTCATTCTGCACCTGAGGCTCCCAGAAGCCCTAAACCCTAAACCCTAAACCCTAAACCCTAAACCCTAAACCCTAAACCCTAAACCCTCACAATGGTACCAACTTAGGAAAGAATCATGGCCGAGTGCCCGGACGAGCGTGACACGACCGTCGCGCGCTTGGAAGTTTTTTTTTTTGGTTTAGGGTTTAGGGCTTAGGGCTTAGGGCTTAGGGTTTAGGGTTTAGGGTTTAGGGTTTAGGGTTTAGGGTTTAGGGTGTTCCCCATTTTGGGGCTTTCCGAAACTAGGGGTATTGAGGGGGCGGGGGGGGGGGGTAAAGGGTTTAGGGTTTAGAGTGTAGGGAAATGGGGCTTTCCGAGATTAGGGGTACCTTATTGGGGACCTTATTATAAGGGGATACTATTATTTGGGGTGTCTTATTGGGGGGGGGGGGGCCCTATTGTCGTAAACTCCCCACTTTGGGGAGGAGGGTTGGAGGTTTCGCTGCGGCTCTAGCTCCGGAGTTGCGCTTGCTTTTGAGGTGGGTTTAGGGTTTGGGGTTTGGGGTTTGGGGCGCGTGCTTGTAGCGGATTTCTGGAGACATGCCAGACAATGGAGAGTGTCGCCGAGTGAAATTGATATCCTAAGCTCAGGATGAATGAGTTATTCACTTGTTTTTGTTTTGTTTAACGGTTCTTCTTCTGTTGCGCTAAGTCCTAAACCCTACGCCTTAAACCTTTAGACCATAAAACGCTTAATCATTAAACCTGTACTGAGGACCTCCAACTCCGGAGCCTTCTGTAGGGCTACTAAATAGGATGTTAGACATCATACTCACCATAAACTAAGGTACCCAAGAAAGGATCGTCAAATTTGGCTCCCCCCCCCCAAAAAAAAAACTCCAAGTGGTGTGGTCTGGGTCAAGCGAAAACCATAAACCGCCCGTTGCTTCGAGGTGCAGGGTATCCTCAATGAGATGGCTATCAAGGCGGAAGTCAAGCTTGGTGTGACACGAGGCGGGGAGGGGCAGGGTATCCCAAACTCGGAACCTCTAAACCCTAAACCCCAAAATTGCCCCCCAAATCCTGGTCTTCCAAGAAACTCCCAGCCCCTTTCCAGCTTGCATTCGGCACTCCCAACACCGGAGATCATGTTTAGGGTTAGGGTTTAGGGTTTCAGGTGCACCCAATGGCCCCATGATCCTCGGAAGGTACGGAAAGTCCATGCATCATCATGCATACAGAATGTGACACATGAGTGGTTGTCAAAATTACTTAGTAGCTGAATGAGTACACTTTATGCTTTTGGGGGGTTTAAACTCCCCTATAGAACTGAAAGTGTACACTTTTTGGGGCTTATGAACTCAGCAACTGAGATGAGTGGTTGTCAAAATTATGGTCCCTTTTGGCTTTTTTAATACGGCACCGAATATTCAGGCTACCCCAAAAGGGATCATAATTTTGACAACAACCCATATGAGCTTAGGCTTGTAAACCCTCAGCGGGCATACGCTGCGCTCGGTAGGAGATGGTGTCCTTCCCTCGGTCCATAACTTTCTCAAGATGCGAAGCCACGAAGCCACAGTACACCCCTGTAGCCCTTGAACCCATGAACCCCTCAAAGCCCTTAAGCCCTTGAGCCGCCTTAAATCCCTCAAAACTCTAAGCCCTGAATGCCGAACCAGAAGGTCGTTTTGTTTTTTGTTTTGCTTTTTGTCCGGGGCTTGGACGCCAGGGAGTGAGTGTAGGTTTTACTGTCCAAACTTAACCTACAGGAGCCAAAGTAGGCCTTCCTGCCCTTGTTTGGAGAGTTTAGGTTCCCGTAGACGCCCCTTCAAGGCAAAAAGGGCACCCTTTTTATTCCTAGGTGACTCTTAGTCTTAGTTCTATCTACACCTTAAAATCTAAACCCTAACCCCTAAGCCCTAAACCACCCTAAGCCCCTCAAAGCCAAGCCTAGCACTTCTAGCGCCCCAGAGGTGCTTCGGAGATTCTCAAGCGGAGCGCCGTGTTCCGAGCTGCCAGCGAGGAGTTCATCGATGACGTCCGCATCTCGAGCATGAAAAGGGTTGTTTAGGGTTTGAGGTTTGGGGTTTAAGGTTTAGGGTTTAGGGTTCCCACCCGACAAGTAGGGCTGTTCGATTTTAAGGACAAGCCGGCGACGCACGTCATGTGACGCGACGCAGTCAGGACAGTACCAGGACAGCAGGTAGGACAGTTGTGAGGCAGGACAGTTGTGAGCCAGGACAAGCAGTACAAGATGCACGCCAGAACAAGGACAGCAGGTAGGACTGGGAGGCAACTGTACCGAAATGTCGCGTTACTAGGCAGGGAGGCTCAGGCGGGCGACTGTACCGAAAATGTTGCCACACGAAGTTGCCATACGAAGCGGGCCACGGAGCCACGGAGGCCGAGGACCGAAATGTCGCCATACTAATCAGGCCGGCCGAACTGTTCTGTCGCTTCGTAGGCTCCCATTGCAGATGAAAGTGCTACGACACCAAGAGCGCGGGAACTCGACGGGGTTGGATCTAGATTAGGGTCTCCGTGTCGTCCTGCACGCACGCAAGATTTCTCGCAGAAAAGCCCCCAAGAGGCTTAATCTTGCAGAGGTGATGTTTGAAGGACAGGGTGGGGATTTTCGAAGCGATAACTTGTTTTCTTTTGGGGGGAGGGGGGCAGCGGGGTTGGGGGGTATGCAACCCAAGGTTCCCTAATACTCCCTAAGGTTCCCCAGGTACCTTAAGAACCCCACGGGGGGGCGGGGGGGGGGGGGGGGTGGGCAGATGATGGGGTGGTGCTCGGCTTTCTCTTAATGTGCTAAGGTCAATGATCGACCCCAAAAGATCGCCGGGTTCAGAGCCTTATTTGTGCATTCCCTACATGAGCTCCGAAACTACGCGTTTTGATAGTCCAAGTTAAGCCCTAAACTTCTACAGCTCAAGCTCAGGACCGCGCATGTATGCTTGCCTGTACAAGGCCGAATGCTCTACAGCTTCAGCTTGGAGTTCGGGTTGAGGATTGACTTTCGGGTTATTAGCATTGAAACCAGGCACGGGAGCGGGGGTGGGGTGCAGGGCTTGGGGGTAGGTGCAGGGGTGGGGGTTTAGGGGTATTGAGGTTTGGGGGTATTTGCTCTACATGGATCGAAGACACGCAACAAGATTACCAAAGCGAATGCCTGTTCTAGGGAGTGTGCAAGACGTGACATTAAATTGAGGGTTGCTTAAGGGGTATAAGGAGGGACCCCTAGATACGTAAGTAGCCCCTAAATAAGCCCCAAATAACCCCTAAGGTCCCTTGTAAGGGTCCCTCCTGTAGTCCCTTGGGTTGTGGTCCAAACAGAAAAGTACAAACCTAAACCATCAAAGGCTCTTCTAAATCTTGGGGTCCTCTGTACAAACCATGCCAGTACCAAGTACATGAATATGAAAGAAAAGGAAGTTAACTTTTTAGAGTAAACTGACTTAGGTTCAGGAGGTTAGCACAAACCTGTGATGGAGACCCTGAGACTCTGAACTCTAAATCCCGAAACCTAAAACCACAAATCCTAAACCTGCTTATTGGGCACTTAGGTGCCCTTGCATGGTCCCTTAACAGGTTCCACATGGGGAACAATTGAGGTTCTCAAGCACCCACCCCCTCGGGGGTCGAAACTTCTTCCTGCGAGGATAGGGAGGTCATCTGTGATGAGAAGGAGGTGGCCGACCACATGTTCATCATCGTCAGGCCAAACTGGACTTCAGCTCGATGTTTTAGCTTGGCCCTGAAACCTAAACTCTTTTTGCCGTAAACCCTAAACCCTGAACCCGGAACACTGAACCCGAAACCCTAGACCCTAACCCCTGAACCCTAAAGAACCTAAACTCCAAGCCCTAGATGTAGCCGTAGCTCGAGTGGAAGCCACAGCTCAACACCTTAAGACCCTGAACGCAAGAGCGTCGGCACTCTATGTAGGGCCTGACCGGCTTTGCATTTGTGGCCTCGGAGTGTTTAGGGTTTGGTTTTGGGGTTTAGGGTTTCGGGTTTGGGGTTTAGGGTTTAGCGCCCCAAATATAAATCAAGGGGACCAAAATGTAGGGGAGCTGCCTCACATGGCGGCCGATCTCTCCAACTTGGATCAACCTGTCCCACCCCCCTTCCCCCTAGTTGATCTTCTACATGTTTGGCCTTCCTCATCTTGCAGAGATGGAAAACTGACGTAGCATTTGGGATGTTCACCCTTATACTAAGTATAATACGGAGCATCCCTACATAGCATTCTACTTCCCCGAAGGGGCTTTGGGGCTTCTAGGCCACGCCCAACCCTTCAGCCAAGCTCAAAAGCCCGAAGCAACCAAGTCCCGAAATGCTGAAGCTGGTAATCCAAGGACCCCTCATCTCTAGATCCCAAGATCAGTCCCTCACAACTTTGGCCCCAAAAATTCCCTCAAACCTAAATCCTAAACCCTAAACCCTAATCACCTTGGTCCCAGAGACCCCACCTTGCTCCTGAGGGGCCACGCCGCGGTGCTCGGCGACTCGGGGGAGGAGGAGGACTCAGTTCTCCGTTTCAAAGCAGGCCCACTCATCCGAAACCCTAAGCCCTGAACCCTGAACCCTGAACCCTGAACCCTAAACCCTAAACCCTAAACCTAAACCCCAAATCCTAAACCCCAAACCCTAAGGAACCAGTGGGGTGGAAGGGAGGGGGTGTAAGGGCCCAGTATTCCCAAAATAAGGCTTCATAATCCCAAATACGCCTTCATAAGCCCGAATCAGGGAACAGAGGCACCCCCCGGACGCCCAGGGGCTCGAGGGGTGAAGGGGTTTAGGGAATGAGGGGTTTAGGGTTTTAGAGGTTTTGGGGTTTAGAGGTTCAGGGGTTTAGGGGTTTAAGGGTTTAGGGACCATAAAGCCTAAAGCCAAGCGGCTCAAGTAATCGTACTCGCAAAGCTGGTATTAGTAGAAACGTACAAAGAATAGTTAAAGATGGTCGCCAAATCGCCCTTAGCATCCTTCCCTTAGCATTCTTCCCCCTTAGCAGACATGATGAGGGAATCAGGGCCCCATGTAGACCCTTTGAGGGAAGAGTTTGGGGCACCTCATTCCCTCATTCCCTACTAAGAACCAGCCAGATTCTTCCGAAGTTCGCAGGCACCGCATGCTGCGAGTCCGCCATCCTTGGCACCTGCACCTACTTTCCCTATGCCGCAGCCTGGCGCCGAAGATTGCCCAGGGGCGCGAAGCCATATAGGGTTTCGGGTTCAATTTAGCGTTTAGGCTCAGAGTTCGTGAGCCCTAAACCCTAAGCCCTAAACCCTAGGCCCGGCTTCTGGCTTGGGCGTGTGTTGGTGGAGCCTTTTGGCGGCTGAGAGGCTTAGAGATGTAGGTTTAGGCTCTGGGTTGAACAAAGCAAAATACATTTAAAGAAATCCATTGAAACATACAATAAACTCTAAAAAAGAAGAAACAACTATATCTATATTATGTATATATATATAGCAACTCTATAAAACAGTTGGCAAGAGGAAAGCCCCCCCAAGGTGAAGGCCATGAGCCTGTGCCTGGCCCTGACGCTCAGCCGCAAAGACTTCGAGGCTCGGGGGGCCGCCTTGGGGCTTTCTGCAGGGCTTCGACTGGGGGCTGAGGGTTTAGGGTTTAGGGTTTGGGGTTTAGGGTTTAGGGTTTGGGGTTTAGGGTTTGGGGTTTAGGGTTTGGGGTTTAGGGTTTGGGGTTTAGGGTGTTAGGGTTTGGGGTTTAGGGTTAAGGGTTTAGGGTTAAGGGTTTAGGGTTTAGGACGGTTTCGGATGTCCGGAACCACCTGAGGGATTTGCTTTTCTTGGGTCGGCGGGGAGGAGAGGGGGAGAGGGGGATCAGGGTATGTCGAGAAAGTCACACATGCGCAGTCGTGCCAAGCAGCCTTGTCCGCGCATCTAGGTTGAGGACATTTAGCGTTTCGGCGTCTGTGCTCCCCTAGGCGAGTTCGTAGATGCTTCCATGGGGTCGTCCGTCAACGGTTTTTTTGCGGGCCCGACTTCAACCCTAAACCCTAAACCCTGAACCCAATTCCCCATTCCCGAAAGGCGAAACCTTGGGCTTGGGGTTGCGAAGGAAAACTCGAAGAGCCGGCCGCTTTCCCCAAGCCCTAAACCCCAAACCCTAAACCCTAAACCCTAAACCCCCAACCCTAAACCCTAAACCCTAAACCCTAAACCCCAACCCCTACGGCTCCTAACAGCCCAAGGTCGGTATGTTTTCGCGACTTTAGACCCACATGTAAATGTTTAATTCATGTTCTTGGAACCCTAGGGAACCCCTAAAGCCGAAACCGCCTTAACCCCAACTTGCCTAAAGCCCATTTAGGGTTTAGGGTTTAGGGTTTAGGGTTTAGGGTTTAGGGTTTGGGGGATTGGGGCCACCTTCTGTCTGTTGTCCCCTCAAGTTAATGTAGTCCACCCCCTCCACCCTCAGCAACTGGGTATCCCCAAAGTTTCGGATGGCCCAAACAACTTAGCACAATTCCGGGGTGCGAGGTTACCCTTTCTCATCGAATCGTTCCTGCCTTTTTTTCTCCGAACAATTTCGCACAACTCTGGGCAGGATTCAGGGTGGGGGGGGGGGGGTGGTATGGGATCCTATTGGTGCAGGCTGCCCTGGACAAGTTCCCACACGAGAAGCAGATGTCCCTCGGCTTCAGCGATTTGGTCTTCCAGGTTTATACAGGCATGAAAGCTGGTGGAGTGGGGGGGTCGAGTGTTCCACTCGCATCAGGTATGACTATGGATTCAGGGGCTTGAGGTTTTAGGGTTTTTAGGGTCTGGGGAAGTTGGGATATTGGGGGGGGGGGGGGGGGGGTTGGAGTTCAGGTTAAGGGTCTAGATCTTCGATCCCGCCTTCCTACTACCTTTGAACTCCCCCCCCCCCCCAAACCCCAAACCCTAAACCCTAATTAAACCCTAAACAAACCATGAACCCTAAACCCTAAACCCTAAACCCAGTTCGGTTTCAGTTTCGGGCCGCGGTGTGCCCTAACATGAGGCCGAGATTTGACCCAGAAATCCCCTAAATCCTGAACCCCTCAACCCATGAACCTTGTACTAGTACCCTCAACTATATCCCCCTTGAGAATTATTAATTTTGGTTTATATAGAACCCAAAAGAAATTAGAAATACTATGGCAATTAAGGTTGAAAGGAGAGTATAGCCAAAGCCTTCCTACTCCCTAACCCTCCAAAAGCCTGCCTTGAAGAACTAACCGGGTATATATTTCCCTAGATGGGGGGTTTACGATAGCGGAACCCCAATATAGATCCCCCGTTAAAAGTGGGAGCCCCTTATAGTAAGGACCCCAATAACTAGGACCGGGAGTAGGCAATGTTTTTCAATTTTTTAGGGTTGGGGTTCCCTTGTAATCCCCTTCATTAAAACCAAAAAAGGTACCCTTTTTATTCCAGGTTACTCCCGGGTCTAGATGAGGTACCCCTAATTTCGGAAAGTGCCCAGCTAGGAATAAGCCCCCCAGCGCCAACATCTCCCTTCCACAGGGGCGTATCAGTTCCTCGCGAAGATTCTGCCCACAGACTCCCCACCCTTGAGCTTTTCCCCTAAACCCTAAACCCTAAACCCTAAGCCTTTCAGTTGCACTATATCCTTGAAAGTTTCCGAAGCGACAGATTACGACGTGAAGCACAGATTTTGATGCCGAAACCTTGTACAGCAACGGGAACACTTCAAATGACACCCCCTCCTGTTGCCTCCAGTAGCACAAGCACAGAGTTTTGGCTATAATCCTTCTTGCAAACCCGAAACCCTAAACCCTACCTTATTATAGGAGACCCCCCCAAAAAAAAGTAATAATAAGAAAAGGAGAAGAGGGTACCCCTATGTTTGGGAAAGCCCCAACTCAACCCATCGCAGCTTGCAGAAAGCCCAGGTTCGCCAAGCTCCTGGAGGACGAGGAATCACAGGACCCGTTTAGGGTTTAGGGCTTAGGGCTTAGGGTTTAGGGTGTAGGGTTTAGAGTTCGAGTCGACACACAAAAAAAACACACCTACATACATACAGACAGACTTTTACACAGGTATTTCAGGGTTATTTTGGAGGTTCATGGGCTCTTTTTTTTTGAGGGAGGGGGGGTGGGGTAAGTAGGGTAACCGTCATGTAAACCGGCTCTGAATCATGGTGCGGGCCTAAGCTCCAAACCCCGAAGCCGCCCTAAAACCGAAACCCTAAACCCCCAAACCCCAAACCCCTAAACCCCTAAACCCCTAAACCCTAAACCCTATTCCCTAAACCCCGAAACCCTATACCCTAAACCCTAAACCCTAAACCCTAACACCACAGGACATGCTGTTCAGCCTGCCCCGCGTCCTGAAGATCAACCACCTCCTTTTTCAGTCGTCGAGTCGCTTGGCACCGGACGAATGTGGATCGCTACTTTTCCCGAAGCCCTTAACCTCAAGTTGGTTTTGGGTTCAGGGTTTGGGGTTGAGGGTTTTGGGTTTGGGGTTTAGGTTTTAGGGCGTTTTTTTCTTTTCAATACCTCAAGTTGGGATTAGGGTTTAAGGTTTGGGGGGTTTAGGGTTTGGGGTTGAAGGTAAACCCCAAACGCTAAACCATTCTTGGTCTGTGAACAAATGGTCATTCTCGTCTCCCTGATGGTGATTTGTCGGTGCTTTTCCCGTTGGGGTTTTGCGTGTTTTTCTTTTTCGGCCAACACCGAGCAAGGATGCTTTGTTGTTGTTTGGTGTGGGGGGGGAAGGCGGGTTGGGGGGGGGGGGGGTGACCCTCTAAACCCTCTCAACCCTCCAAACACTGTCGACCCTTTAACCCTATAAACACTAAACCCTATATACCGTTACCCTATCAACCCTAAACCCTAAGCCCTCTGAACCCTCCAAACCCTATCAACCCCATAAACCCTATGATTCCTAAACCCTAAGTGTCTAAGTCGCTTGTGGGGCACCTGGAGAATGCCTTGGGCTTCTCTCACGGCTCTTGGGCAAGAAAATATTGGTGTCAGAGCTGTCATTTCCAGATTCGCCACTGCGAAGATGTTTCCCATGTGGCTGCCGACAGAATCTATGAGCAGACATCGAGCGAAGTCGGCGCTTGAGGGTTTAGGGTTTAGGGTTTAGGGTTTAGGGTTTAGGGTTTAGGCACCGAGTTTACTGTAGTCACGGGGCAAATGGGATCTTTTGGCCCGCGGGTTTTCTGAGCGGCTGGCAAGCTTCTTCCAGTCAGCGCTTGAGGGTTTAGGGTTTAGGGTTTAGGGCTTACAGTAAAGTCCAGCAAGCTGGAACATGGGTTTAAGGATGAGTAGAGCTGGGATTCCCTTTAGTATACCTTTGGGGGTTTGGGGATCAAGACGTTCCAACCTTTTGGAGTGTACTGCTGCTCAGTAGCTGAGTGAGTACACTTTACACTTTTTGGGATACTATAATCCTAAACCCTAAACCCTAAACCCTGAACTCAGCAACTAAGGTACGTAGGGTAACGGGACAGCTGCAAGGGTTGCTTCAGGGTTTGTTCCCTTCGCAGCTCACAACTCCGGGTTTGTCGTCAGGGTTTTAGGGCTTAGGGCTTAGGGCTCAGGGTTTAGGGCCACCTCAGCAACCCTGTAAGCCATAAGGTCGAAAACCCTAAAACCCTAAATCCCAAAGCCCCAAAACCTGACTCCTAAACCCTAAACCTTAAGTCCCTATGCCCTAAATCCCTAAGCCCCAAAACCTGACTCCCAAACTGGGCGCTTGGTGTTCAAGGCATCGACTTCCTGCGGAAGATGTGCGAGTTCGCGGACGAGGCGCCAAAGATTGGAGATGCAAACGCTGAGCATTTTGGGATCAGGGTTTAGGGTTTAGGGTTCAAAGCCCTAAACCTGAGACCCGAGCGAGCCCGAGCAAGGTTGAGGGCAGGGTTTGCTTGTGTCAGCGTGGCATGTCCAATTCTGCGGCTTTGAGTCACAAAGGGTCTATATGGAGCTCCAGGGCAGATGTGGCTGTCTGAGGACTATCGTATTATGATTCATATTGTTACTATTGATACCATTGTTACCATTGCTACTTTGTTACCATTGCTACCATTGTTGCCGTCGTTAGCATTCTTACCATTGCTACTGTTGTTACTGTTATTACTGTTCTATTGTTATTATTGTCATTCTTGTCATCATTGTTGTTCTTGTTATTCTTGTTGTTATTGTGATTATTGTTTTTATTGTCACTATGGTGATATGATTCGGTTATTGCTAGTGTAGCTCCGCTGCACTCTTGGCAAACTGCCGAAGAGCTCGGCAGGTCTACTACGCCCCTGGCGAGACCATCATCATCCGAGGAGAGAGCTGCGCCGTCGGCAAGACGGTCATGCCACTCGGCCTGGGGGTGATGTGACTGTCTGTGTGTGACTGTATGACTGTGTGACACTGTGTGTGTGTGTGTGTGTGTGACACTGTGTGTGTGTGTGTGTCACTGTCTGTCTGTCTGTCTGTCTGTCTGTCTGTGACGGTGTGACTGTGTGTGTGTGTGTGACTCTGTGACTCTGTGTGTGTGTGTGACTGTCTGTGTGTGTGTGTGTGACTGACTGTGTGTGTGTGACTGACTGTGTGTGTGTGTGACTGACTCTGTGTGTGTGTGTGTGACTGACTGACTGTGTGTGTGTGTGTGACTGACTGTGTGTGTGACTGACTGTGTGTGTGACTGACTGTGTGACTGTGTGTGTGTGTGTGTGTGACTGTGTGTGTGTGTGTGACTGTGTGTGTGTGTGTGTGACTGCGTGTGTGACTGCGTGTGTGACTGCGTGTGTGACTGTGTGTGTGTGTGACTGACTGTGTGTGTGTGTGTGACTGACTCTGTGTGTGACTGACTGTGTGACTGTGTGTGTGTGTGTGACTGTGTGTGTGACTGTGTGGTGACTGTGTGTGTGTGTGACTGTGTGTGTGACTGTGTGTGTGACTGTGCTCAGAGGTCCTTTAGGTTTGCCATGGCGGCTGATCCAGATTATGGGCCTTTTCTGGCTCCGTACTGCACCCCAGAGAGCCCAATACCCCTCCATCAAGTAAAGTCTCTTAGCTCCTTCCTGAATGAAGGGGTACTGGGGCTCTCTGAGAACTCCAATAAAAACACACAAAAGGGCTCGCAATTTAGATCAAGCCCCTGACCCCTAAATGCCAAGAAACCCTAAACCCGAAACCCTACACCCTAAACCCTAAACCCTAAACGCTAAACCCTAAACCCAAAACCCTAACAAGGTACGTGCTTCTGTCCGGCGTGGCCATCGTGCGGCTGTCCTTCGGCGATGAGGTTGCACAAATTCAGCCAGGCAGACCCCGCAGGGTTGAGGGGCTTCTATGATCCCTGTTCTCGGTTCACCAACCCCCCCCCCCCCCGCCCTCGCACCTCTAAACCCTAGATACCCCTCCCTTCCCTGAACCCTAAATCCCCCTCCCCTGAACCCTCAGCCTTAAACCCTAAAAGCCCCTGACAAGCCTCTGGACACCCCAAAGTCTGCAGATTGTTCAAGTTTGGGATTGAGAGTCCAGGCCTAAACCCCAACAAACCCTGACCCCTCTTGGCTCCCCCCTAAACCCAGAACCCCTAAAGCCCCAGTCCCTAAAACCCTAAGCCCTAAATCCCTAAACCCCCAAACCCCAAATCCCTAAAACCCTCAACCCCAAACCCTAAACCCTAAATCCCTAAAACCCTAAACTCACCAAGAACTCTCTGTTCGCCAGGGATGATGATTGGCGAAGGCGGAGCACTGGGGATCACGGACAAGCGGTCCACCGAGATCTGCGCCCACAAGGCCGCCAACGGCTGGAGCTTTGGGCCTTTCAAGGTGTTGAAGAGGGGAGGGAGTTTAGGGTTTAGGGTTTGGGGTTTAGGGTTTAGGGTTCAGGGTTCAGGGTTCAGGGTTTAGGGTTTAGGGCTTTGTAGAGCTTTTAAGCGGCTGAAGGTTTTTCGGTGAAGGCTTGCGTTTTGGGGGGTTTGAGGGGCTCTGAGGATTTGTGGTTTGCACAGCCCTTGGCCCTAAACCCGACAGCCTAAATCCTAAACTTGCGCAGGACACCTTCATGCGCTGTATTCGGCTACAAGGCGCGTCGATTCGCAAGGCAGCTGGCCCAGCAGAAAGAACGCCCACCCCCCCCCCCCCCCCCCGTGCCGTTAGGGTTTATGGTTTAGGGTTTTAGGGTTTAGGGTTTAGGGTTTAGGGTTTAGGGTTTAGGGGTTAGGGGTTAGGGGTTAGGGGTTAGGGGTTAGGGGTTAGGGTTTAGGGTTTAGGGTTTAGGGTTTAGGGTTTAGGGTTTAGAGTGTTACGGCATTAGGGTTTAGGACTTTCGGGTTTAGGCAACCCAAAAACCACTCGAGGCAAGCCCCAAAGTCCTGCAAGGCCCCAGACAGGTCTCAGGTCTGCAGGTTACCGCCTAAACCCTAAACCCTAAACCCTAAACCCTAAACCCTAAACCCTAAACCCTAAACCCTAAACCCTAAACCCTTAACCCTTAACCCTAAACCCTAAACCCTAAACCCTGAACCCTGAACCCTGAACCCTAAACCATAAGCCCCGAGAGCCCGCTGAACCCACTACTCAGCCCCCGTAAGCCGCCTCGGAACGCTGCACCCAAACCCCTTTAAGCTCTTCAACCCTCAACAGCTGATACGCTAAATCTAAGGTCCCTTAGGTCGGCCCTTGCCCAGAATGTAGGAAACCTGAAAGGCTATACAGATTTTTTGAGAGAGAGAGAGAGAGCATATGTCATAGGTATCTGAGGACCCAAGGTACGGGTTCATGTTGGAGGCCCATCCGCTACCCCCTAGACCCCTGCTCCCTAAAGCTTGTGAAGCTAAAACCCTCAGAACCTTCCAACCCTCCACCCTCCACCCTACACCCCTAAACCCGAAACCTCGCGTGGCAGGCGAGTCGAGGGGTGGGGGTGGGTGGGGCACTTTGTCATGACTGAGGGAGCAGGCCCTTATTGAATATTAGGTTCCCTTATAAGCCCCTTTAAGCCCAAAAACGGCACCCTTTTCCAGGTTACGCTTGGGTGCTAGGGTGTCAGGGTTTGGGACATTAGGGTGTGTGGACCATAAACCTTTTTGGGTTCATTTGGTCCCCAAGGTAGCCCTTTGTCTTCACGTAGGGCTTCCTCGTTAGTAGGGCTTCGCCATGAGCGCACATGAGGGGCGAGAAGGCCGGAGAGTGCAGCGAAAAGGGCACAAGTGACTTCTTTAGCGTTTAGGGTTTAGGGTTTAGGGTTCTTATCGCCCTTCGGAGAGAAGTTCGACAAAGGTTGTTTCAAGTGCTGAGGCGATCGATGCCCACCCAGAGGACTGCGAAGCATTGGAACAGACCTTCAAGAAGCGTCCCTCGGCGTAGACAAACTCTTTTCCAACCCTAGAACCCTTAAACCCTTAAACCCTTAAGCCCTTGAACCCTTGAAACCCTAAAAGCCTAAAACCTAAAAGCCCTAAACCCTAAACGGGCGTACGGACTGGGTTGTCCCTTTCTGCTGAACTTCCTATTTCTTTCTCTGAAAAGGGTCAGTGTTTAGGGCGTAGGTCTTTGACAGCATTGAGGAAAACCCAAAACACACCACCTCGAACCCCATCAAGAGGGCTGAGTCATTTAGGGCTTAGGCTTAGGGTTCAGGGTTTACGGTATAGGCTAGAGAGTTTAGGGTTCGGGCTTTAGGCTTCACAGGTGTTGGAGGCTTTTGAAGGTGAAGCACAGACCCTCAAGTAAGACCTCGCCCTGCATCCAGGGCCGAAACAGAGCTCTATCAACGAGCGAACGGCCACTGAGCCCAGAACCCTTCACTAAGTTCCCCAAACCGTCCCAAGCGCTAAAAGGGGTTCAGGATTCTAGGACCCCAAGGGCCCTAAACCCTAAATTCTGTTTCGGGTTTAGGGCTAAGGGTCTAGGATTTAGGGTTTAGGGTTCAGGGTTCAGGGTTTAGGGTTCAGGGTTTAGGGTTTAGGGTTTAGGGTTTAGGGTTTAGGGTTTATCGGGGCTTCCCTGTGAGACTCTACCTGCCCCTTCACGGACGCCCTCCTTGGGGACTAGATGAACCCGTTTATGGTCCAGATACCCTAACAGTTGAGGGTTCAGAGGGTGCCTTAAACCCTAAACCCTAAACCCTAAACCCTAAACCCTAAGCCCTAAGCCCTAAGCCCTAAGCCCTAAACCCTAGTATAGCAGAATCGGGAATGGGAGTCCCTAAGGTTCGAGGACCCTTCGAGCAAGACAGCTTGTAGGGGCTTCACGGGTTGAGGGCTAAAGAGGGCTTAGGGCTTAGGGTTTAGGGTTTAGGGCTTAGGGTTTAAGGCACCCTCTGAACCCTCAACTGTTAGGGTATCTGGACCATGAAGACCCTAAACCCTCCACGGCCGTAGGTGCTTCGGGCTTAAGGTTCCTCAACCCGAAACCCTGCAGGGTTGTAAGTTGTAAGAGCTTTAGATTCGATCACGAAGTCCCATGCGTAGCAGCCCAAAGCATCAAAGCGGAAAGGGGTTTAGAGCTTCTAAGAGTTCAGGGGTTAGGGTTTAGGGTTCTGAGTCTCTTAGGTTTGCCGGTTTACCCTCACCCTAAACCCTAAACCCTAAACCCTAAACCCTAAACCCTAAACAGGTTTTAGGGCTTTTTAGAAGCTTTTGGGCTGCCGAGGCTCCCAGCAGAACGCCCAGGCCGAGGGTCGGCGCCGCGAGTGGCTCCAGAGCCAAGTCATACCCATCCTTCGCCGCTTGGGCTTCCATTAAGGGGTTTAGGGTTTAGGGTTTAGGGCTGTTTGGGGCTGTTTTGGGTTGTTTGGGGTTGTTTATGGCTGTTTGGGGCTGTTTGGGGTTGTTTGGGGCTGTTTGGGGCTGTTTGGGGTTGTTTGGGGTTGTCTAGGGCTGTTTAGGGTTGTTTAGGGTTGGCTAGGGCTGTTTAGGGCTGTTTGGGGTTTCAGGGTTTCGGGTGTCTGTCTGCTCCCTTCTCGGCCGACTGTCGAAAGTCGGGAGATGGCGTGTTGGAGCCACAAAAATGCTGGACCCAACGCCCAAAGCCCTATCCCCCTAAGCTCGCCCCAAACCCTAAACCCGAAACCGCCCTAAACCCCGAAACCCCGGCCCTGAGTCCAACTGCAAAAGACTCGGCTTCCCAACCTCTGACACGAACTTGACAGCGGGGCCTGAGGGTTTAGGGTTGGGGCCTAAGGGCCGCTGCAATGTTTAGGATGCAGGAAGGCCCCAAAGGATCAGGGAGCTCAGTACCCTCTGATGAAGGAACAGGCCTTACTTCATATTAGGATCCCTCCTCTAAGTGAAGGTAAAAAACTCTAAAGGGATATTGGGCTCACTGAGGACATAAACCCCTAAACCCTGAACCCTAAACCCTTAACCCTGAACCCCTCGAAGGTCATTGCAACCTTTTCATGGGCTTCTCCATGAAGCTGATCTCGAAGACGCATGGCATCTACAGCTTGCGGTGGCGCTGTATGCGGGTCTTCAATCAGCGCCAACATTAATTGAACCTGCAAATCTAAACCCGGAAGCCCGAAACCCTAAACCCCCTAAACAACCCTGTAGGTGTCTTACAAACGGATTTGGGGTCTAAGCAGGTAAGGGGGCACTGAAGCACGAAAAAAGCAGGGCCCATGTGTATAGGGTATAGGGTGTAGGGTTTTGGGTGTTGGGTGGAAGTGAGGCGGAACAATATGGGTCGGAACAACTACTAGTCGTATTCCCTCATAGTCCTTCATATTTTTTGCTAGAATCCCCTAAACCCGAAGCCCCAAACCCTAAACCCCATTCAAATTCTGAAGGCCCCTACATTACTTTTGCGGCTGGAAGCCGCTTTTGGCCTAGCTCCCCTGCCCCTGAGGAATGTTTGTTTGGGGTGTCAGGTTTAGGGTTTAAGGTTTAGGGTTTAGGGTTATGTTTCTATTTGCAACCCAAGGGAATGAAAGTTCCCAAGGCCTGCCAGGTTTTCCATTCGCCCAGGAGGGTTTGGGGTTTGGGGTTTAGGGTTTAGGGTTTAGGGTTTAGGGTTTAGGGTTTAGGATTTAGGGTACTGCTTTTGGAGGCTGCGTGATGGTGGATTCCAGCCATTGCCTTAGCGGATTCCCTACACCTTTTGAGCCCAAACCTTCTCATATTTAGGGCTTAGGGTTCAGGGTTTAGGGTTTGGGGTTCAGGGTCCCTGCAGAACATGTTGCACCCCCTTAGTCCCCATTCTTTGAAGGTTAGGATCCTGTCACAGTTCTGAAAAGGTACTTCTTTCCCCTAGCTTGCTTGGAACCCTAAACCCTAAACCCTAAGCCCTAGACCCTAAACCCTAAACCCGCAATCCTTTTCAAGCATGCATCCGCGAACCCGCCCGAGGATTGCGGAGCCGCTCCTGAAGACGACGCGGCTTCGTCTTCATGACAAGCCCTAATAAACAGGAAACCCGAAACCCTAAACCCTAAACCCTAAACGGCAGGCTTCTGAGAGGTCTAGGGTGTGGGGGATTTTTCTGGCTCTGGATGGCAGTTGCCATCGGCAGGTTTCTGATCAAGTCAGCCTCCCGCTCAATGAGTCACAGTGACAGCAGCAGCGGAGACCCTAACCCCTAAACCCTTAACCCTAAACCCCAAATTATCGAGTCGGCAACAAGAGGCAGCAAGAAGGATGAAGACACCCGAAGACGTCAACGCAGAATCTGAGGCCTTGCAAAAGCTCAAGCCTCAATCCCGAGAAGCATCCGCAATCATCCACCACAAACGTGTAAGGGTTTAGGGTTTAGGGTTTGGGGTTTGAGGTTTGGGGTGTGGGGTGTGGGGTGTGGGGTGTGGGGTGTGGGGTGTGGGGTTCAGGGAAGTCCACTGAGACCCTGCAGCAGCCAGTACCACTAAAAGGCTAAGCGCTAAACTGGTTGCGCAGAGCCCCCAAACTCCCACAACTCTAAAGCACAAGGCCTTAAGCCTCAGAACCCCCCTCAAATCCTCAAGTCTCAAAAACAGCTTACGGAGAATGAGAGCTACGAAAACCGAGGACATAGCAGCAGCCTGCTTCATAATCAGGAAGTGATACAAAAGCAATCATGGCGTTGGCTATTCTGCTATGTTATGCTATGCCATCTTCTGAATGTGTGCACATGTTTGTTATAGGTTTATGCACTTGGGGGTTTACGAAGAAAAAGGGACCCCTAATATAGAACCCCAAAAAGGAGGATTCCCTTATACAACTTATACACGTAGTAAAGACCCGGAATCCCCCATTGAAAGCCCCTACGAAAAAGCAAAAAATCGCCGTAGCTCAGTTGCACCCTTTAGTCTTGTGTTTTTGGATCAAGGTTCCCTTATCTTTGTCACAGTGGGGGGTAACATTTTACATGTTTAAGTTAAACTCAAGAAGGAATAGAAACTTAGATTTTGGATACTATCCCAACCATGAACGAGTTCTAACGTAATCAGCCAAAAAAGGGTACTGTTATTATAATATGGTTACTGGGCTACTATGGATTCACCCTAAACCCTAAACCCTAAACCCTAAACCCTAAACCGAAGCACCCTTGAGCCAAGGATCCTGGAGGGCAAGGACCTGTGCACCGTTGGGGAGAGCTCCGACTCCATGATTCTCCGGCTGCACGCAGTGTAGGGTTTAGGGTTTAGGGTTTGGGGTTTAGGGTTTAGGGTTCTAGGGTTCTAGGGTTCTAGGGTTCTAGGGTTCTAGGGTTCTAGGGTTCTAGGGTTCTAGGGGTCTAGGGGTCTAGGGGTCTAGGGGTTCTAGGGCTTTAGGGTTCATAGCGTTTAGGGTTCATAGGGTTCAGGCTTCAGGCTTTAGGCTTTAGGCTTCAGGCTTTATGCTTTAGGGTTTAGGGTTTAGGGTTCCAGACGTGATGGCGGCTTGGAGGACCGGCCTACATAACGAGGGCCTGTTTAGGTTTGGGGTTTACGGTTTAGGGTTTAGGGTTTAGGGGTGCGTTGGTGAAGAACAGTTTCCGAAGTATGTGAAGTCTCACCAGCCATGTCAGGGATGTCGAATGTGAAGGTTTCAGCTTCAAGGGTTTAGGGTTTAGGGTTTAGGGTTTAGGGTTTAGGGTTGTTGTTTGTTTAGGGCGTTTATTGCCACTCATACCGATGAGGAAAGAAGGCTTGGGGATGGGGCAGCTTTCGCCGTAAAAACCCTGGGTGTAGGGTTTAGGGTTTAGGGTTTAGGGTTTAGGGTTTAGGGTTTAGGGTTTAGGGTTTAGGGTTTAGGGTTTAGACCCGAAGCCCTAAACGAAACTCCACGCACCCAAGTTTTCCACTGAAGGATTATGGTGGTCGATGGCGAGGTGGAGATCAAGTCCAAGGACGGCAAAGTCGCTGCTGGTACGCATCTGTGGCTTTTGGCTTGATAAGGGGTTTAGGGGTTTAGCCTGTGCTGCTCCCGATGAGTTTCTGGGAGTTTGCGGGCGGGAAAGCGGAAACATTGAGGCGGCCGCTTCGTCTTTGGGGGGGTGGGGGTTAGGGTGCCCCTGGAGGTGCCTTCTAATGACGGGTTTTAGGGTTTAGGGTTTAGGGTTGGGGGTTTGGGGTTTGCGGTTTAGGGTTTGGGGTTTGGGGTTTGGGGTTCTTGTAGGTGCCTTCTAATGACGGGATCCGTTGTGTAAGGAAGCCCTTTGGCACATGGGGATGTGAATGGAATTGGCCTCTTGGATCAAGGCCCAGGGATTTAGTGGTATCAGTTTCCCTTGCTTTGGCGGTGAGGTTGCTGTGAAGATCTCCGTTAAGCAAGAAAGGGTTCGTTTGAACGGCTGCCGAGGCATAAGTAAGGCTTAGAGCTTACTGGAAAGTATCGTGTTACCTTTAGGTAGGTTGTCAGATGGACAAAATTGTATTCTGTCCTCGATGAAGGTACATTTTCGACCCTGCTTGTGATTACCCATGAGCCTTCACGTCGACACTGAAAGAGTTTAATTTGTTCCAACGACCCAACCGCAACCTCGGATCTCACCAAAAAGCCGCCCAAAGCCCTAAAGCCCCTAGCTCCTCCTGGCTTGAATGCTACGAACAGGGGTTGCCTTAAAACCCTCCACCGAAACCCTGATCGCTCTCAGTTTAGTGCTCCGCGATCTGGGAGTTTAGTTTATTTTGTTTATGAGGGCGGGTTGGGGGTCGCAGGACTCGCGATATCATTGTTGCTGGATTCGGGGGTCGAGGGTTCGAGGGTTAGGAATTGGGATGTGGTTGGGGTGTAGGATGTTTTGAACACAAAGCAAGGCTCTACGCGCCCTACTACCGCCATACTGCACCCTCTCACTAAACACCATTGAAACAAGCAGCACAAGACCCTTTGGTGATGAATTTGGACACCACAACAAGCCCACAAACAAATCCGAAGTCCTAAGTAGGCCCCTAACTCTAAACCCTAAACCCACGCCCTAAACCCTAAACCCAAAAGCCCTGAACACGCCACGGCGAGGTTGCCACGGCAGGAAGAGGTATGGCCTGTCCCTCAGGTTATGTGTTTGGGGCAGCCCTCAACCCTGAGGTTTAGGGCTAAGGGCTTAGGGTTTAGGATTTAGGATTTAGGGTTTAGGGTTTAGGGTGTGCCAGGGCATTAGTGGTGCTTCTTCTAGCTCAAGGTTGATGTTTCTGGGCTCAGGGGCCTCAGCTTCAAGGATATGAGAAAGCTTACTTGAAGGCTCATGGGCACATATAAGTACTTCGGGAGGGAGCATCTATATCCTGAACGAAGGTTAAAAACGCCGTAGAGCTTCGGGCACGAGCTTGCAGATCTAAAGCGAAAAGACGCGAGGCAGGAGGCTGCAAGCTAGCACGGGTCTATGACCATGGTGTGAAGCCCCATCATATCTAGCGAAGTACCGCGAGCTATAGGGCCCTTCTCTCCAAGGATAACAAGCTGGCTTCTTGAACCTTTGGTAGAAAAAGGACCAATCAAGAAGGGTTTAGGGTTCAGCGAGCGGGCTTAGGGTAGTTGGACAACCTCCCCCGCCCCTCCAGCCCAAAAAATTTGCAGCGGCCAAACCCTAAACCCCCAAACCCCCAAACCCCCAAACCCCCAAACCCCTAAACCCCTAAACCCCTAAACCCCTAAACCCTAAACCCTAAACCCTAAACCCTAAACCCTAAACCCTAAACCCTAACCTGCCAAAGGCCATCGGGGAGCTGGCTCTGTTGGGCCTCTTCCCCTTCCGGACCGCCACGGTAACCGCTCTGAGAACCACGGACACGGCACCTGGGACTTGGTTTAGGGTTTAGGGTTTAGGGTTTAGGGTTTAGGGTTTAGGGTTTAGGGTTTAGGGTTTAGGGTTTAGGGTTCAGGGTTCAGGGTTTAGGGTTTAGGGTTTAGAGTTTAGGGTTTAGGGTTTAAAGTTTAAAGTTTAGGGTTTAGGGTTTAGGGTTTAGGGTTCAGGGTTTAGGGTTTAGGGTTTAGGGTTTAGAGTTTAGGGTTTAGGGTTTAGGGTTTAGGATTCAGGATTTAGGGTGCAGGGTTTAGGGTGACTGTTCGTGTGAGGCTATGGGTTTGTGTAGGATCCGGAGTAGGTCCTTGTTCCCATTTTTTTGGTTTTTGGTTCCCTTAGAAGCCCCATTAAACCAAAAAAGGGCACGCAGTTTATTCCTAGGTCACTCTTGGGTCTAGTTGTTTTTTGTTGCCGTGGCTTTAGGAGCGTTAGGCTTGGTAGCCCAGTGGTACCGTGTACCCTATTTTTTTTTTTAATGGGTTCCCTCGTAAAGTAACCAACCCAAGAAAGGGTGCCGTTAGTATGATATGGTTACCGGGCAGCCAAGTAGGCGCATTGGGGTTTACAGGTTTGAGGCTTCAACTTCTGGGTGCCTCGAACACTAACTACAGGGTTCTTAAGGGGGTGGTTCACGGGGGGGTAGGTACCTAGGGAACCTTAGGGAACCTTTGGGGAGCCTTAGGGAGTAGTAGGGAGTATTAGGGAACCTTTGGGTTACATACCTCCCTTAAGTAACCGAGAACCTACTTGAACACCCAAGGCCTCAGCCCCAAGGCATTGGCAACAAGATGTTTGGTACGAACTTTATACCCCTAAACCAGACATTCGAACCCTAAACTCTAACCCTAAACCCTAAACCCTAAACCCTAAACCCTAAACCCTAAACCCTAAACCCTAAACCCTAAACCCTAAACTCGATGATGCACGACTTTGATTTCTTATCTCACCCATGCACTGCGGCGCAAGAAGATGGCTTCTTCTCAGAGTCACCTCGTAGCTCTAAACCCAAACCCCTAGGCCTTAAGCTTTAAGCCCTAGACCCTAAACCCTGAACCCTATCTTGTGATAAGGGACCGCAAGTTGGAACAAACAACAGCCCGCGCCTAGAACCCTCACAAAAAGCAGGGTTTAGGGTTTCAGGGCTTAGGATTTTCGGGCTTAACCCTAAGCCCTAAACCCTAAACCCGAAACCCGAAACCCTAAACCCTAAACCCTAAACCCTAAACCCTAAACCCTAAACCCTTTTTGGTGCCCAGGTCTTTGTCAAGTCCTGGCACTTCCAGAAGATGCTCGCGGAGTCCGAGGCTGCGAACGAGCGCATCCAAAAGGTGGAGCAGGCGTGGGATTTTGGGGGTTTTGGGGGTTTAGGGGTTTCAGAGCGGGTTTAGGGTTAGTAGGGTTAGTAGGGTTATGGGTTTTTTGGAACCATGCGCGATTCAGAAACTGGACGCGATTCAGGAAACCAGGGTTCAGGAAACCAGGATTCAGGAAACTGCGCGATTCAGGAAACCAGGATTCAGGAAACCACGCGATTCAGGAAACTGCGCGATTCAGGAAACTGTTTTCCCGCGATTCAGGAAACCTCGGTTCAGGAAACCACAAGATTCAGGAAACTGAAAACACGCGATTCAGGAAACCGCACGATTCAGGAAACTGACAGCACGCGATTCAGGAAACTGCGCGATTCAGGAAACTGCGCGATTCAGGAAACTGCGCGATTCAGGAAACCAGCGGATTCAGGAAACCACGCGATTCAGGAAACTGCTCGATTCAGGAAACTGCGCGATTCAGGAAACTGCACGATTCAGGAAACTGCGCGATTCAGGAAACCACGCGATTCAGGAAACCATGCGATTCAGGAAACCGCGCGATTCGGGCCTGTTGAAATGTGGGGGGCTGCTTTGTGACACTAACCGTTCAAGCGCATTGGGCTCCAGCAGCCATTCAAGCAACAGCATTGGGCTCCAGCCTGTTGAAACTGGGTCTCGGAAAAGGGGGATGATAGCGTCCAGGACAAGGCTGCTTTGTGACACTAGCCATTCAAGCGCATTGGGCTCCAGCAGCCATTCAAGCAACAGCAGCAACAGCATTGGGCTCCAGCCTGTTGAAACTGGGTCTCGGGGGGGGGGGGATGATAGCGTCCAGGACAAGGCTGCTTTGTGACACTAACCATTCAAGCAACAGCATTGGGCTCCAGCAGCCATTCAAGCAACAGCATTATTGGGCTCCAGCCTGTTGAAACTGGGTCTCGGGGGGGGGGGGGGCTCCAGCCTGTTGAAACTGGGTCTCGAGGGGGGGGGATGATAGCGTCCATTGGGCTCCAGCAGCCATTCAAGCAACAGCATTGGGCTCCAGCCTGTTGAAATTGGGTTCTCGCGGGGGGGGGGGGGGGGGGATGATAGCGTCCAGCACAAGGCTGCTTTGTGACACTAACCATTCAAGCAACAGCATTGGGCTCCAGCAGCCATTCAAGCAACAGCATTGGGCTCCAGCCTGTTGAAACTGGGTCTCGGGGGGGGGGGGATGATAGCGTCCAGGACAAGGCTGCTTTGTGACACTAACCATTCAAGCAACAGCATTGGGCTCCAGCAGCCCTTCAAGCAACAGCATTGGGCTCCATCCTGTTGAAACTGGGTGTCGGGGGGTGGGGGTGGGGGATGATAGCGTCCAGGACAAGGCTGCTTTGTGACACTAACCATTCAAGCAACAGCATTGGGCTCCAGCAGCCCTTCAAGCAACAGCATTGGGCTCCAGCCTGTTGAAACTGGGTGTCGCGGGGGGGGATGATAGCGTCCAGGACCAGGCTTCCTTGTGACACTAACCATTCAAGCAACAGCATTGGGCTCCAGCAGCCATTCAAGCAACAGCATTGGGCTCCATCCTGTTGAAACTGGCTGTCGCGGGGGGGGGGGGGGGGGATGATAGCGTCCAGGACCAGGCTGCTTTGTGACACTAACCATTCAAGCAACAGCATTGGGCTCCAGCAGCCATTCAAGCAACAGCATTGGGCTCCAGCCTGTTGAAACTGGGTCTCGGGGGGGGGGGGATGATAGCGTCCAGGACAAGGCTGCTTTGTGACACTAACCATTCAAGCAACAGCATTGGGCTCCAGCAGCCATTCAAGCAACAGCATTGGGCTCCAGCCTGTTGAAACTGGGTCTCGGGGGGGGGATGATAGCGTCCAGGACCAGGCTTCCTTGTGACACTAACCATTCAAGCAACAGCATTGGGCTCCAGCAGCCATTCAAGCAACAGCATTGGGCTCCATCCTGTTGAAACTGGCTGTCGCGGGGGGGGGGGGGAATGATAGCGTCCAGGACAAGGCGCTTTGTGACATAACAATTCAAGCAACAGCATTGGGCTCCAGCAGCCTTCAAGCAACAGCATTGGGCTCCAGCCTGTTGAAACTGGGTGTCGGGGGGTGGGGGTGAGGGATGATAGCGTCCAGGACAAGGCTGCTTTGTGACACTAACCATTCAAGCAACAGCATTGGGCTCCAGCAGCCCTTCAAGCAACAGCATTGGGCTCCAGCCTGTTGAAAATGGGTGCGGGGGGGGGGATAGCGTCCAGGACAAGGCTGCTTTGTGACACTAACCATTCAAGCAACAGCATTGGGCTCCAGCAGCCATTCAAGCAACAGCGTTGGGCTCCAGCCTGGTCAAGACACTGCCACCTAGACATCGTAAGTGCCGGAAGACGTTTCAAGTCAGAAGCAGAATCTTTGTACTTTACATAGTTTGATGAAGTGTGACTCCTTCATTAAGGAATTTTCCTACGAAGTAATGTTTTTCATCGTGAGGACCCTGGAACCTATAACCCTCACACCCGGAGATCCACGCGTTCTGAGTCTTTGCAATTGTTGAGCTGAATCGAGCAATGGAAAACGATTGCAACTCTCAACTGTAGGTGTCAGGTTTATACGGCAGCTTATAGGGTATACTCATAAGCCCTAAACAGAACCTTCGCCCCAAAAACCCTGAAATTACAAGATCGCGAGCTTTTAGCCATGAATCTGAGCCGAGAGACATGTGACGACGACCGTTCTGATGAGGACTGCTAAACCAGCTCTTTCCGAATCCACGAATCCGGCTCCTGCCATCCGCAGTTTCCGAGTCCGCGTTTTCCAGTTGCCTGAATCAGAGGTTTCCGAATCCGCGTTGTCCAGTTGCCTGAATCAGCTGTGGTTTCCGAATCCGCGTTTTCCAGTTGCCTGAATCAGCTGGTTTCCGAATCCGCGTTTTCCAGTTTCCTGAATCAGCTGAATCCGCGTTTTCCAGTTTCCTGAATCAGCTGGTTTCCGAATCCGCGTTTTCCAGTTTCCTTAATCAGCTGGTTTCCGAATCCGCGTTTTCCAGTTTCCTGATTCAGCGGTTTCCAGTTTCCGAATCCGCGTTGTCCAGTTGCCTGAATCAGCTGTGGTTTCCGAATCCGCGTTT